CAAGCGTCCACCGCGCGCGGCACCTTGCTTTGTTTACAACCAATTGCATCTGGTGACTTTCTGGCAAGGGCCGCACGTTGTTAATTGGGTGCGTGTGGGTGGCAAGTTGTGCGGGTTTTGAAACAAGCACACTGTTACCACACTGATTCAGAAACACCATCAATCTACGGTCAAAAAAAATCATCAAACGTCGGTGAAAATTGCCAATTGTTGGTGATTACAGAAAAAAGAATTGGTGAGGACATGTCGTGTTGACCACCAGTGTCACTCAGAACAATGGTAAAGCACTTTTATTCAAATAGACAAAGAAAAGTTGTTCAAAATGTTTCAGAATTGCCAAAGTGTCAGTGTTGTTCAGAAGTTTCATTCAACAGTGTTGATGGGAAGCAATATTGATCAGAAGAAATCCTATTTTCACCGCCGCGCCCAACTCCCGCCGCCGCCCGCTTCCGACGCCGTGGGCAACCCTCTCCAGGCCAGTTTTTCTGGACAGTAGCTTGGGGGATGATGCATCGTCCTCATCGCCTTTGACCCCTGGAATGGCCTCAGAACCTGCAGCCCATACGTGAGCCATGTGCCAAGTGGGTCACATCCGGCAGCGGCTGCAACTCCGGTCCCTGGGATCTTTGTTATCATGGACCTGTGCCACCACCAGGTGTTCTAAATACCCTCTCCGAAGTCTTGAGTATGCGATACTGACCAAATTGCTACATGAGAATAAAATCCATGGCCAGTCGGGTAGTTCAGCAACGTTCTTCCACGTTCCCTTGCCTGAGGAAGCAGTCTTGCTTGCGGGGGCTTGCGGGCGGATACTGGGGGCACCAATCCGTAAAGCACCATGTCCTCCAAGGTGTCTGGTGCGTTCAACTGCCCTTCAACAGCCGAACAGACTTATTCACACCCCTGGTTGTACCCATGACCGCAGCAGGTCTCCAAGGTTTGTAGCCTCTGGTCGATAGGAAAAAGTAGGTAAGGGAAGTCGGCAAAACAGATCCGTAACTTTGGAAAAGATTGGCTTTGAGGGTTGGGCGCAGGGGGTCCTTGTCTTGATGTTTAAGCTACCACCACCGGCTCCTTTAAATCCAGACAAGCTCTTCGGAAGTGCAAATTTGGATCAAAAGTACCAATCAGAAAATCAATCACAAAAATCGTGCAGAAATAAAGAATTAATAAACACATGTGGTTCAAGTATCGCTCAACAATATCGTTCAGAAAAATGAATCAGAAGTTTCAGAAGTCAGTGTTGTTCAGAAGTCCGTGTTCAGTTGTTCAGAAATGGTGATGGAAGAATACATCAGAAGTCTTGTTCAGAATGCTCTTCAAATTGTGACAGCCGCAGTTCTTCGTGTCGCTGAGCATCATGAGTAGAAAAGAATCGATTTATAATATTAAAAAAATGAAACCAAATCAAAAAAGAAAGTCGTTTAGAAATTCACTTAAATAATTTAATCAGTGGTTCCGAAGATTTTTTTTTTTTCACAAAAAATCAAGTTACAAAAAATCTTGAAATGTTAGTCAACAGCGTTGAAGTATCCCTTCAAAAATCAAAGAAGGAATGTTGGTGTTGTTATTACGTGATCAACTTCTGAGCACCCCTAAATGGAAAATCATTTTGACCCACTCTGTAACATATTTTTTTTGCTCCACACTTCTTAATAGTCCTGAATTGTTGACTTTTTTTGGGGCACCGTCCAGCAATGGTTTTTATCTTTTACTTGCCTGTGTTGACAGGTCAAAGTGTGGGTTCCTGCGCATTCCAAAATGTGTTATTACAGCCAGTACTTTTTTTTTTTGTTAAAAAAATATTTGATGAATATATATATATATATTGATATATTTAAAAATGAATCCATTGAAATACTTCCGTATAAGTGGTGTGTGTATTGCTTGTGCTTGAAATTGTATCTGCGATGGTTTGTGTTTGGAGTTGTGGTGTGTGTGTGTTGTGTGTTCTGTGAAGTGTTGTGTGCGTGCGTGCAAGTGAACGTAGGGACCTGTGCGCGCGTATACCGTCTGCGCATGTCGGGTGTGGGCGTGGGCGTGGGTTTATGGATGCGTATTTGTTATTTGCTTGTCATTTTTGATATATAAAATTATTGATATTTTTGAGCGATATTGGTGAAAATGTGTTTTTTAATCGTCAATTTTTCGGAATATTTCAATTAAATTTTTATATTGTTATAATCAAAAAATACATATATTAAATATATGTTTTATTTAGACATTTTGCTTTTCATCGATGCTTTTGATCGATATTGGATCTAGATAATTAAGTATTTTCTTTGATAAAGCCATGTTTGATTCTGGAATATCGCCTGAGCTTATTTTTTTAATATATTTTTTTTTTCCTCTTTTTTCTTTTTTCTTTCTTTTTCTAGTTTTTTTCTTTTTTTTTTCTTTTTTATTCTTTTATTTTATATCTTTTCTTTTTTTCCTCTCTTCTTTTCTCTCCTCCTCTTTTCCTTCCCTCTTCCTCTCTCTTCTTTTTCCTTTCTTTCGTTTTGTTGCTTTTTCTCTCTCTTTGTTTTTTTGAAAATTATGTTTCTCTTCCTTTTCGTTTTGTTTGATTTTATTTTTTAGATTATTATTTCTATTTTTGTTATTTAATATTTTTCCCACCAGAAATTAAAACGACAACACATCCATTTGGATATATTGAAACCATTTTTGGTACCCCTATACGGGAATCGTGGTTTCTAACATTCGACGAGTTGTTTCGCTACACTGATTTTTCGTACAAGTTTCTTTTCATGAAGAAGATATAACACACATAATAGGCGAATCATTTTCATTATTGCACGATGCGTTTTTTGAGCATAGAAATCAAACCCTCTATATATTTTTGGGGGATTAAATCGTTCTCGGATATATATGTTAAGCGCACAAAACAAATTTCTTTAAAGGTCAAATCATTCTTATGTCGATAAGCATCTAAAAATTAAAATATCGTTCAATTATATCGATAAATATAACTATTTTTTTCTTATTTTAATTATTCTTTATTTTTTTTACATTTTTTGTTTTTCCTAATATCTTTTTCATTCCTTCCTATTTTTCTTTACTTCTTTCCTTAGCTTAACTCTACTTTAATCTAAAATAATTTTATATTAAAAAATAAAACATATTTTTACAAATTACAAAACATTTTTTTTTTTTTACATTATATATATTTACATTATGTATATAATATATCAGTAAAATCCTAAAGATTCCAAAATATATAAAATAAATAATTATTAATTTCGCTTTTACTTATTATTATCCCATTCATCAAAAAATCAAATAACAATCACATAATCTATTACTTCCCTCCTAAGTAAATCAAACTCACAACATGTTTCCAAAATACTAATAATATAAAATAAATCTCAAAAAACATATAATATTACTACACAAACCACCCCATAATCCTTATAAAACCTAATAAAATACATATAAAATCTAAATCCTCGTAAAATCTTAACTTAAACATATCTAATAATTACCGAATACAACCCATAACACCTTATAAAATCATTTCATACTATAAAACATATAAACATATAATATTTCCATTTCTTAAACCAAATATATTTTTCAAAATAAAATTCAAAAATAAAACTATAATCCTATTTAAATATTTCCATATTCTACACAAAATACAAATATATAACTCATAAAAAAAATCATAAAAAACAATAATAAAAGAAAAAAATACATATTCTCTATCTAAAATAATACAATTTACTTATATTTAACATCATATTAATATAAATCTATATAAACATATTTAACCAAAAGAAACTTCTATATAAACTTACATATATATCCACATACAACAAAAACACATAAATATACAAAATATATTCAATACACATATACAATATATAAATATATATTAACCTAGATACAAAAATAGACTTATTATATTTTTTAAATACACAAAACATAAAAAATATTAAATTCCTATCCAATACCAAACATCGAACAAACACAAATAAATAAAAACCATACAACACAACCAAACCAAAAAACAATATAATATAATCCATATATATATATATAAATCCAAATTAGACATATTATAAATACTACATACAACCATCCACCAAAAAAAAGCAAACAAAAAACAAAAAACATATCAAACATCCAAATTACAATTTAACAATTCACCATTCATTTTAAATAAATTCCAAATTCCTTACAATAAATCATCTCCATCCCATATAAAATTATTATTTGTAATCGTTTACAACCTACTAATCCCAATACAAATATCATTGTATTTATTTCAATAATACAATATTTAGTTTCTCTAACTATACCTATATACCTAATGTAATTATTAATAGAAATATCACCCTTATAATATTAAACCCCAACAAACCTACAATCATCATAACATATTTCGAATTACACGACAAATTTGTTATGCTTATTTAACACAAACATATACAAATTATTACAATCACATTTAAAGAAATCAACATAATTCTTATTATAATCTATATTTCGTAAAAAATCAATCAAACATATATAATTCTAAACCATAAATTGTTAAACAAATTGTTAGAGCAAATAAAGCAAATTCTATAATCAATTTCTTTAATTAACCGTAATACAATCATTGTTCGACTCGAGAATAAAACCTATAAAAAAACTCTTCGCGCACGATTTTCCGGAATTCAAAATCAGCCAGAGCTAAGTATGCTTCGCGAGGCTGTTTCTAATTAAAAGCCGTCCACAAAATGATGGCAGTTTGGACTGTGCAATTTCATCGTGTACCGCACTTGCCCCGACTAGGTAGCGTATAGGGTATCAAGTTAAGACATGCATACACACGTTCTCAAAATAAATAAATATCAGGATATTAGAAATGCTTTCAAAGATCTTGGGTCTGTTCGCTGGCTGTCTTGCTGGTGTATCACATGCGTCATGTACCAAATTGTTTGTAACCTACCTTTCAGAACAGGAACGTCAATTCAACATTTTGCGCCCTCCTTTCGCACAAAATCAAAGTATCAATCGCCTCCAAGCTTCAGAACTAAGGGGCCGACTTCACCCGCGTTCTCGCCTGACAGCAAAAAGGACTTTTTGGTTGGGATCCCGCGACTTATGCGTAAACAAATGGATTCATCAAAGAGAGGGTGTGGGGGCTCGCGCGAAGCGCAGGCAAGGAGCTGGTAACCCAAGCAGCGAACTCCACGTAGTGGACTTCCCCGTCGCTATTGGCGTCGGCGGCGCGGAAGATGGTCTTCACATCCGCATCGCTGATGCCCTTGGCGCATTCTCTTGAAAAGTGAAGGGATTCTCTGTTGTGGTGGCTGCTTCAATCCGTTGAGGGTTAAAAAGACTAAATGAGCGACGTGGGGCAGCCCAAGGCCGTAGCAACCAGCAATGTCCTTTCCTAATGCCGAGGTGCCGGCACTACCTTCGTCAGGACAGCGGCCATCTCACTTTCAAGTATGACTCCGTCGCCGTTCGTGTCCAACCTTTGCAAGCGCACCGCACAAAAACAGGGGCACCAACAAAACTGGCGGGAGTTGAACGGGGTTTGTAAGGGATGTGAAAGCTCCACCCACGGCTTTTTCATTTCCACGCGACTTTCGACGCGCAAGCAGTTCGTCCTGCTTTGTCTACAGCGCCCGCAGACGCGTTCCCGCTTTCCCACCACTGACCAACTGGAGCTTGTTTTTGGCGTTCAACATCTATATGCTGGCTGATGTATCCTGGAGCATGTGTTTCGGACCAGAACAGTAACGAAAAGGCTGGCCCTCATGACGGCCACCAATTGGCCTGTGGTTCAGGGTTCACAACATCCCCCATTACACCCCCATCACTCAAAAGCACTCTGCTGCCTAGTGTTTTTCTACTTTGCAATCAAATTCCGTTCGCAATGCAATTCGCGACCCTGTGCACAGGCCTCTCACTCACTCAGGACAGCCATGGTTGTTAAGATTCAATCCATATTGGCTCGAGCAATGCAATGTGTTGAGCGAGGAGAGCATCACACCGCCATTTCAATGGAAACGTGCTGCAGTGTCATTCTTCAGGCTGTCTACCTGCATGGCAGGTGCTTTGCTGTCTTTTCCTCATTTATTATTTTATTATGAGCATGCCTGCGACCCAAAATGTCCTTCAGCATTTCCCTGTGACTGAATGTACTATGGTGACCAGTGTCTGGCCCTCATTTTCCTATCGTTGGTCGAGTAAATCATATCATCCTCCATGTGAAGTCTTTACCTGGTGTTGCTGTGTGGAACCTTGCCTTTGATGCAGTGGAATGAGTATCCCATTGTTAGTGTGTCATCCAGATCAAAGGGATCCGCAGCAGTTTCGTTGATCTCCTTCACGTGTTGCTTATCATGTCGGACGCAGACGTGGTACCATTTGCAGTTTGGAATGCGCCGAGTATCTTGTTCCCCAGGCGCTTCGCCTCGGATTGCCCGATCAAGTCGTGTCTATCCACAGCCTGTGTCCACGGGCAAGTTTACTTGATCTGCAAATGCGTTCTACTCCTGGAGGGTAAGCTTGATGCCTCCCGGCGTGCGAACCTCCATGCCATCACAGATCACCTTCTCACTCGCATCCTCCAAGTTGACGGTCGTGTTCCCCGGATCTTGTCCGCGTCCAATTGGCCGTTGATCGGGTTGACGACTGTCCATGCCCAATCTCGGCAGGGTAAGAACTTGTCTTCGGCAGGATTCTGCGCGTGTCTCGACGTAAACACCAGTTGTATTGCCGGAAATTCTTCTCCCGCTCGGGGCTCCTAATTTTCTTCGTCTTAGCTGATAGCTTGCCCTCTTCATCTTCGTCAACCGCGTCTCGAATTCCAGCCCTGTCTTCAGGTGCGTCTTGAATAGTCGCACTTGTCCAACTTCGCAATCTTGCCGAAATCATCAGGATAAAGCGATACCATCCTTCGCGAGGCCCTTCGGAACGTGAGGAAGATCAGGCGCAGCCTCGACAGGAGCTTTGTCGACTGCGCCCCCCGTCTCGGCATGTTCAACATCTGATGGCTTCGAGGTCGCCTGTTTGATTTCATGTGGAAGATCATCCGGATATTCCTCATCATACGCCAATTGATTTCGCTCGTCCAAAGTCTCTGCGTCGATGCCGACCTCTATTCCTTCAATCGATTTGCTTGCGCTTGCAGAGGGATATTGACCGGCAGATTTGTTGCTATGTTCCTTGTTTGATGTGGTGCTCGGAGTCTTGCAGGAGTCGTGGCGTTCATTGAGATCCGTCCCGGAAAAGGCCAGGCTCTGTGTTCTCTTGCCCTGTGTGGCCTTGAGTTGAGAGAGTGCCCAGCGAGTGCTCCAGCTTCTCCGTGGCCACAACTTTTCCCTCTTGACCAACCTTGCTTCGCTCCGATTGCAGTCAACCAGCGCTCCAAAAAGTATCTTCTCACACTTGAAACGCTGGCCAACGTAGGGTGGTCTGGCATGCCACGGCATGCCTGCTCAACAATGATCTGATGGTGTGCCTTTCTGCCAGAGCGTTGTTCTGCGGTCTGCTCGGCAACAATTTTACGGTTCATTCAAAGTTGTGCGCGTGCGTTGATCAAGCTTGGCACATCGTCGGAGAAGGCTTGTGTTATCTTCCGACGCAGTGCTTGATCACGTTGATGATGGAGTCGGAGTTGTTCCTGTCAGTGGGGCTGCCATCATCATACTAGTGTAGATAGTGCTTGTGGCCTCCATATCCTGATCTGCTGGCTGATCTGCTGGTCCGCTGGCTGATCCATCCGCTTCTTTCTGCTGACCCGCTCTGATCTGCTCTGATCCGCTGGCCCGCTTGCTCCGCTGGCTGACTCGCTGATGCGCTGATGCGCTGGTGACGCGCTGATCCGCAGGGACCCGCTGATTCGTTGGGTGATGGTCAGGGCCTTGAGCGTACGTGAATGAATGCTTTTTCGATTCCGTTTTGGCCGGCGTGCCACTGCGCTTAGGGGGGCAGGGTGGCGGTTCCTGGGTTTCGACGAGGCTGCCGGCCTTGTTTGGCTGCGTTTGCCGACCTTCCTTGAAACTTCAATCCCTGCTGTTGGGCCCGAACACTCTTCTTAGTCTTAGTTGGCAGTTTCGAGCATTTGGTGCTATTTTCGATTGCGTCTGCCCGGCGTGCCACTGCGCTATACTTCGCTTGGCTGAAGCTCTGCACTTGTTGCCTCGACCAAGTCGACGTTAGAAGATCACCAATCGTCTTCGCTTCGCTGTTTTGAATGCTCCCGTGTTCGATGTGAAATACCTCATCATCTTCGCTTTCACAAACGGTTTGCAGAATGGACTTGTGTGTCTGTGCGTTAGTAGTCTGGCAACCGCATCGATGACGTTGGCTGCTGGGCCACGATCGACCATCCGCGAGACGCCCCATGGCAGGTGCAAGGCCCAGTACCTTTGCATGTGCACGTGCTCATCACCTTTCTTTTGTCCAGTTGTCATGAGCATCCCTGCAACCAAAAATGTCCTTCAGTATTTCCATGTGACTGAGTACACTGGCGATCAGGACGATGTCTTCTTTTTGTGCCCAGGTAAGGGATATCATAATGCACGTGCAGGTCGCCACGGCAGTTTTGTTGACATTTTTCACGTGGTGCTTCATCATGTCGGATGCAGATGTGGTACCATTTGCACTGCGCTGGGATATCTCAGCCTGTGTCCATTAGCCAACTTACTCCATGGCTGTGGTTGCTGGCAACGCAGATCAACTGGCTCCGTCTCCCAATCACCTGTTCATCTTCAATGACTTTAGCTCTGGTGAAGTCTCTGGATGTGCATCTGACAACTTTGGCATATGTTTGCAAACCAAGTTCTAGATTTTTCGCAGCGCAATCTCTTGTGGTCTGTCCTCGTGCCGCATAGCATGAAGGCTATCACCTTTTGCTGAGCAGGGAAAGGTTCTTGTCACCCGGATCTCATGCCTTTGATGAGCTCTACTTGCCATTGTCTGTGTTCAGCATGTCGAGTCATATCCAACAATACATGCGCAACATTGTCTCAAAAGCAACAAATAGCTTGAAGTCAGATGTGGCAAACCTATGGTCACCAGAGGTTGTAAGATTCAAGGTCGTCCACGTGTCAATGTCTGGGTCGGCTGAGGCGCAGCAGAAAGCTCCAACTGTCCAATTGTGTGATCTTAAGCCATGGCGGCACGTATGCGGGATTTGGTTCCGGACAAGGAGGTTTTGATGCTGAGGGCGACGAGTAGAGGAGGACGAAGAGGATCATCGCCAGAGAAGGCGAAGGCAAAGAAGCGGAGGTGATGCACGTGCAAGAATTGAAGACACGTGAATTTCGAGGAAGGAGGCTGAGCATGGGCAGGATTTCCTCCAAGGTTTCGGCCACCAGGGACATTTTCATGGCTTTCACCATGTGCAAGCATGGTTCTTGGAGCTGATTCGTTGCTCGAGATGTGCATCTGTCAACCTTTGCACGCAGGAAACAATATTGATCCGGCACCCATGTTTTCGCCCGTCGGACTAGCCGGGTTGGCCACATTGCTTCTGCCTCATGCCCGAATGCGTAGCGAACGAAGGGTTGCTGCTATTACATGGGGGTCGGGGTCTTCGATGATCGGCTCGCGTCCGGCCGCAAGGTTTTGCAAGCGTTCGCGGGCGTCCCCGTGTGGAAAAAATGCTGTGCCGTTGGGATTGCGAAACGCGACGTGCTTTGTTCATTCATCTTGAACTCGCCTAATTCGTTGTGCCTGTGCGTGAACCGTGTTTTGCAGCGATGCCGTGTCGTTTCTGTGGCTGCGCAGGCGTAGTGTTTTGGAAGGTTCGCCTCCAACTCTTGACCATGCGGAACTTCAGTGACCATCAACAGAATCCGGTACTGCGCGAACTTCCTGACATGTTATGAGCAAATGAAGCAGTGTGCCCCTTGCCACGTGTCCTCTGGAGTTGTAGAGCCGCGTTGCGGCTGATGACCGGAAACAGCAAGATATGGCCCGCACTCTCCGCCAATAGTCAGGGCCAACTCCGGAATTAGACTAAACGCCTAGGATTTGCCAAAAGTTGAATGGGGTGTCAAGGGAATGTAAAAGCTCTTACCCACTGCTCGGGTAGAAGACGCTGTGTGGTTCTGGCACGGCGGTCTATGGCTGCCCCGTCCCACGCATTACTCTCTCTCTCTCTCTCTCTCTCTCTCTCTCTCTCTCTCTCTCTCTCTCTCTCTCTCTCTCTCTCTCTCTCTTTCTTTCTCTCTCTCTCTCTCTCTGAATTGCGCACGCCCAAGACATTTTAGCCAAGGTGTTCATGGCCAATGCATCATTCACATGCACGTTCTCCACACAAGGAACCGAGCAGTAAACCAAAAGGTTGAGCATGAGTACTTGTGTGGCCTAGGGATTCACGAAAAAACCAGCCTCTGGATCCTGCACGTCTTTACAGGTTGGTTTTTGACTATCAAGTGGGATTCTGCTGTGTCGTTGCTGCCACAGCCGTGGCCGATGAGCGGCGCTAGCCATCAAGCACACTGGGGCGTGAAATTGAGCAGCCCAGCAAACCTCTATCGGCCCACGCCCACTTCGCTGCTTTTTTCTGCCAAGCTTCTGGGCGAACGCCCTGGAGAGCACCACCTGGAAGTCAGAAGTCGAAAGTGAACACCGCCCGAAGCCCAAGGTGGACCCCAAGTGACAGCTTGGCTTTGGCCCTGGCACGTGTGAACCTCAAAGCTGAAAGGGAACTTTGTCTCGGAAAGCGGCCAAAGGTAACCCGCACGCGCTATTATATCGAAGGCTTCACTCTTGCCAGCACACCGTCATGCCTGTATTCGCATTGAGCTTCCTTCGCGACTTGGCCCTCGGCAAAAGTAACAGGTTGCCCGCGAACCATGGGAGCTTTCAGCTAGTTCCATGTCTGGCACTGATATGGATTCTGAAGCCTTTGGGGGTCACATGCTATAGTCCTTTAGGGTGCTCCGAACTCTTTTCGTGGGCCGTTTGAGGTGTTGACTGAACATTCGCAAAGTGCGCTCGATTGAATGCTGCTAAAAGGGTCTGTTTGTTTTGGTTCAGCTTGGGACAATGGGTTCGCACGCGCCCTGCAAGCTGATCACGGCTCAAGGCTTCCATGTTTTGAGCTGTATGTCTGAGGCACGCTTGTCCACACAAAGCGTTCCGCATCCGAGGCACGGCTTCAGTCGGAGGCGCTTCAGCCGCTTCCTCCGTCGGCTGCTCTCCTTCCTCCGGCTTGGCCTCTTCGGGCTTGGCCTCCTCGGGCTTGGCTTCCTCGGGCTTGGCCTCGGGGTTGGGGCCTGGCCTGAGCGCGGTTTGCGGATTTGTTGGGCTTCTTGGGCTTCTTCTTTTTCTTGGTTACCAGCCACATGCTAAAGTTCAAATGACTGCGCCTTTGGGTAAGGCTTGGAGGGCGGGCAAAGGCACGAGTTTCGCTCCCCGAAAGCCAGCTGCCTGCAGATTGAGCTGACTGAGCACCGTTTTGCCCGCACGCGAATTCTGCCAAGTTGCTTCTTTGGGCGACCTTTCTCCAGCACTCCAAAGGCTCCCCGAGGAACGGTGCCAAAGTGCACCAGCCGCACGTCGATGGGAGACGAAGCGTGGATCCTAGTGCAAACAGTGAGGGGGAAGCAAATGGCCACAATCAATGCTTATTCGTTTCGTCGTTGCTTCTGCTTGGACAAATATTTGCAAATTACATTTAGTGTTCTTTCTTCATCTCTACCGTGCTCTTATCTCAGGATGTGTCAATTAATCTTTCAGCTGCTTCCTGACTTCAGCCCTTGCTCCCCATCCCCAAGACTAAGCTCGCGGAATGTGGCCTCATGGCTCGGCCAATGGCATCCACGATCCAGGCGGTGCGGTTGCCAAAGGCTCCACCGCCCACTGCGCTCAGAAAGACCTCGGCGAAACATGCTGGGCCCCGGAACACAAACACGTCCCACCCATCACAACCAATCTGAAAAGCCTTGCAACCGGCGCAACCAACAAATTGCTTCCGCGGCAAGCAAGGCAACAGAATCCCCCAAAGACCAGCCACTCCAAAGAAGTGCGCCCTATCATGGGAATCTGGTACACCTTCTGGACTGTCCAAAGCGGTTGCTTGTGCCACTGGCCCGAAACGCGAAACCCCGGGCGCCACCTGCGACGAGGCGCCGTGACCCGTGCTTTGCGCTGCGCCGCTAGGCAGGCGCCCGCCCACAGCGTGGCCTCGAAGGTGGACTCCAGCACCAGACGCGCAAAGGGCTCCTCAGGGCTTTGCCGAATCCGGGCCTCCGCTTTTTTCCCGGATCCGCGAAAAGAAACAATTCGCAGTGGGTGAAATACGGAAGCCCAAGCGACTAAAAAGCAAGAAAGCTTTCTGGCACTGGCTGGGAGCAAGAAAAGGGTTGCTAAACTGGGCAAAAAAACAGAGCTGAGCTGCTAAAAAAGGGGTGTGAAGTGCATTCTGCTTGCCAGCATCTACAGCATTTTCGGCCCTGTGTTTTTTGGGCTGATTCTGTGTGTAGTTGTCTTGCATTGCTGTTGATTGGGCATTTTCTGCTGTCAGCGCTGAACATGTACGATCCCTTGAACCATCTACGCCCTCATCAAGTTGTTGATGTGGTATGTTGTAGGCGTTTGATTGAGCTTGTGCAACAATAACGTGCAGGATCCAACATCTAAGTGGCCCTGATGATATTGAAACTCTTTCTTCCATGTGGCTAGCATAGCGAGCTACATGCACCCTCATTTTGGTTGGGCACGTCAGAAGATCCTGCAGCCAAGGATCCCAGTCTTGTGATCGCGTGCTTTTCGCATATGCGACCGGCAGCGCGGAACAAAAGACCTGGCACACGCGGTGGTCCTTCTTCGCCACTTCCTCGGACGGGCTGGGCTTGTCATTCGCGTCAACTCATACGGCAAGGCCAGGAACAAAGGACACGCATCCCGACCTACGTGGCCTTGCAAAAGTGGGGAGTTCCCCAACCAACTTCGATTTCCGCGTCTGCAAAGGACAAAGTGTCTCAACGGGTTCAAGGACCAAATCAAATGTTCAAGCCTTGTGGTTTGGTCCTTTTGAGGGTCGGAGTCCTGACTGCCACCAAATTAAAGACTAAGGTGTATACAGGTCCTCAGATGGAGCATCAGAATCGGTTTTCGACGATTTGATATTGCCCCCAGAAAGAAATGTCGTGAGCTTTTCAAGATGTAGATTTTACATGAAACTGGACCTTGCTTCCTTCCCATTCAAATGACAAGATAGGCAAATCACTTTCATGAACCGAGGTTCTTTGAGAAACAAAGTCTTCCAAATCGAGTTCATCATTTAAGAACCTTTCAACATAGAACCACGCTGAGGGACCAGTGGCTTGTAAAACGGAACCACTTTCTTCAAAGGGTGCAGTAAACAAAAGTGAAATCGAAAAGCCTAAGAGCACCCATCTTGGAAGGCACACCCAGAATTCCCCCATGGGATCCGGCCGCAGATTTTGCGGGACCTCGATTCGAGGTGCGGTGTCCCAATGCACCCCGACGCGCAGGCGCTTGCGGATCTCCTCCGAGAGTTCCTCGTCCTGAGCGATGGGTGGGGCATCGGTTTTTTGGGAATCGAGATGAGAAAAGACCACCAGGTAAACCAGGAATCGCCATCTGTTTCGGGGATTCCCTTTCTTGGAACCCACCAGTTATGGAAGCTTGGGTCAGAATGAGAAATGGATCCCCGATATCCCTTGCTAGTGGTTTCCGGATAAAGGGACACTCAGGTTCATTCCCGCGTTCCCCACTTCTCGCACCAGCAAGTAAACCTGGCAAGAGAGAAACCTGACTCGGGTGAAAGTGGCCGGGAGAGAAACAAAAAGATGAAACCGAGCTGGTAAGAAAGAAGCGGACACGCCGATTCACGCGGAAGGTTTGAACGAGCCACGGGGTATCAAGCAAGAAAAAGGCCCAAACTGGGGTACTTGGAGATGGATGGAAGCCAATGAGCTGTCATGTAAATACCAGTCCAAATCTGCGGCAAGGGCAACTAAAGCTTTACCAAGAACCTGATCTATTTCGTTGATCACCTGAGGGTTCCCTGCGAGACTTTTGCGAGCCTCTCCCACCAGTGAGGCCTGACGCCAGCCAGTGATTCGTGGAACCAAATCCTTCGAAAGAAGAAAGTACTGTAGGTGAGCAAGTGAAAGGCACAACGCGCCTTGAACGGCGGGCATGTGCCTCATGCTTGGTGCAAAGCTTCAGGGTTGAATTGGCCGGGTCGCTACCACCACATTCCTCCAAGCAAAGGCGTGTTCGACAGCTGAGCAAGGCTACCAGGCTCTTTGTTTGTGGAATGTTCAGTGGGTGCAGGTGGTTCATTGCGCGCAAGACGAGCCCAGTCGTCCTCCTTCCCCCCATGACTCTCCTTCTTCACGCGCTGGCTGAGGCGCCCAATGCTAGTGTTATCCACCGGCAGGCAGTAGCCGTTGACCATCCTCCAATATTTCCTTGCTTGCAACTTGGACGGGTGGTCTTAAAAGGCCTGCTTTTTGGCCAGAAGAGAAGGGGGGCTCGTAGGTGGAACATGTTTGAGGTGTGGGCTAAACAGGAACCCGAAGCCCTACCCCAGCAAGCCATGTCTAAGCTCCTTGAAGCCAACGGGAAATCCACGCAGTTGGTTCCGTCTCTGTTTGTGGGCAACAGAATCGTGCGACATATTTTCTGCCCACTCTCTCTGGATTGTCTGCGCCCCGCTCGCCCCCTGATTACGTACCTGGATGCTACGGTAGGTCCTCAACCCTGGACAAGGTGCTCCTTCGCATTGCCAACCAGCTCGCCAACATCGGCCAAGCCGTCCAGCTGGCGTCCTGACGAGCGATATGGAGCCGGAAGCACTTTCGACCGGCAAAACGGGCATGGATGCCATGTAGGTCGTGACTGGACATGTGCCCGAAAGCAAAATGCAAAACCAACGGATGTCAAAATGAGACCGGGTTGCCCCGCAAAAGGCACATCTTCCGATAGCAAGTTGGAAGCCATAATTGTCAAAACGTCAAAGGTTCTTTTTGACAAGGAGAGACGGGTGCTTCTCAAACTTGCCAAATGCTTTTGATTGGTGCTTGAGGGGAGCCCAAGAGGTAACCAAGCATCCTTTGGTCGCTGGTCGAGAAAGGGGAAACCTGTTCGGGGCGGACCCACTAATCCAAACGGAGTTGAAAAAGGGTGGAACCTACTGAGCAACTCAAGAACGCTTGAGGGGCGCCGCGACCAAAAAAACAAGGCACACCCAAGCCAACCACCATTCATGCCACCCGGATTTGATCCTCCGGACTGCCCGGTGCCGTTGACGAAGTAGTTCCGAAACACCGTGCCGGCCGGGCAGCTAAGGGCGCAAGCCTCGGTGCGGGTTTCTCGTGGGCCTCCGGAAGGTTGTGCATTTCCCACCCGAAAAACCCAACGGGGGGAAAAACACACACACACACACACCCACCGTAAACCCACCCTTCACCAGGGAAAAACATCAACCTCCGAAGGCGCATGTGCTGACTTGGCCGCGGCGCCGGGCCCTGGGTCTTGTCGCTGTAGTAGCGGGTGACCCCATCCTCCGGGCGCGCCCCGGGCTCGTTCATCTCCAGGCAGTTGAACTGAGAGGCCACCTGCGCCCGCGTGCGAGGTAAAGGCGCACCAAAAGCTGCGAGTTGAACGGGTGTCCTCAGTTAATCCTTGCCAATTTCGCACTTGGAGAGCTAATTCTCATGATCCTTACTGGATCCTTGAAACTGCCAAACATTCAAATTCCAGAAAGGGTACCGACTCAAGCAAACCCAGCACCCAGGTTTCGCCTCAGCGCAACCCGTCGCTCGCCTGAAAGACAGCACCCTGGTTCACAGGATCCTTGTGCAGAGTCATCGCCTGAAAACGGAGCAATCGCCAAGCGCCGAGCGAAGCTCTGAATGGAAAGAAGAACAAACCAGGACAGGATGTACCGCCTGAGTTCTAACAAGTCTAAGCTACTGCTGCAGAAGAACTGTGTATGCCTCAAAATGCTCTGAGTCAAACGTAAACAAAAGAATGAGACAAGCACAGCAGCTAATCCCGGCGCAAACGGCAAACCACTTTGAGATAGATTCGGGCAATGTGTACTGCGACGCATGGCTCGGAGAAGCGTGGCTGGTGCAAGTTCTATGTGTCCACGGCAAATTGCTCGTGCCAGTGCGCCATGCCGCGGGATTTCGTAGTGCTCGTGCTTTCAAACAAGTGGCAAGGGTGCCCTTTTCGAGCTTCTAAGGAAACCCTTGTTCTTAGTTGACGACATGCCATGTGATCATAAAGCCCAACCGCAAGCCACGGCGCAAGTGCAACTAGAAGCCCTGCTCAAAGGGTACAACCCCTATACGAAGTTTCCCTTCAAGCTGGTGAGTCCAGAAAAGTAACCGTGTCAAGACTCCAAAAAGGCCTTCTGTCCAACACGCAAACAAAGATCCCCTTCATGACAGGGTTCCGCAACAAATACATCCAAGCATCACCAGATTCACAAGAGGATCTGCAAACCAAGCGGTAAATATCATCTCCATGGCTACAATATGGCTTTGCAACTGAGTCCAGTGAGCGAAAGGCAGTACAGCTCCTTTTGGCGTTTTGCTTAAGTCCCCCCGCGTTGCCGCAAACGTTGTCAAAGGTGAGGCCCCCAAGGCGACCGGCTTCTCCTGCGACATGTCGGGCGTGGGACGAGGCACCGAACGGAGGCCACCTGGGTTGGAGACGAAGCAAAGACACAAGAAATCGTAGGATGCAAAAGTTGAACTTCGAGATGCTCTCACGGATCCTCCCCAAGCCGCGGGCAGGGGAAAGCGAAAAGACAGCACACATAGGACGATGACCATGAATCCAGCAGGCCAACAAGTCTCTGGTTGTCCTGCTTGCCTAGCACACCCTAAGGCAGGCAGACAGCTGAAGAGCGGATAACCGACTCAATGCTAGACGGCCATTTTCGCACCTTTTTCTGCTTGTAAAGGGGATATTGCCGGAAAGGGTGCCCTCTGATGGTCGATTCTACAAGAAGCCCCAGTCCTTTTGCCCTTTGGAACCTGACAGAAGGGGCCTGGAAGGCAATCGCAAAGGAGTCAATCAGGGAGGGTAGGCCTGGGGTCGGCTCTATCTCTTGTCACTGTCTCTAAAGACCCGCTACACCTCCCAAACAAAAGCCTAACCACTTTCAGGAAGCCGTAAGCTGAAAAAAGCCATGGAGAAAGTTTCCCATTGATATCTTTCCAAGGCAGATCCACAAGAACAACACCAAATGTTTCCCTTTCCCATTCACCTGGCGTCATACCGTGGATGGGCGAAACCCATTTGGCGCCAGGCGCTCTTTCCTCGATAGCAAATTCCCCGCTCGCCCCTCTGCTTTCTGCTCCCTTCGGGCCTTGCGCCCTGAGCTCTGCCAAGGACGGAAAGTCGAAGGGCCCCACGTGGAAGCGTTGGCCCGTGGACTGGCGTGACCCCGAGGAAAATCGAGCCGGAAGCGCAAGGACCCAACCGTTTGGGACCCCCTAGTACACCAGAAGCTACGGTTCATAGCGGGAATGAGCCAATTCTTTGAGCTGCTTCCTTTCAGGAGACCTAGGACATCCATTTCCACCCTTGGAGGGACCCAGGTGCCGCAGAGATGAAACGCAAAGCAAAACAACCAACAGTGAATGAGTGCATGCAAATCCACGTATATACATGTGCACACACAAATTGACTTTGCTAGGCCTCCATTTATCACGCGGAGAAGGGCCAAACGGCCTCTTAAGGTTGGCATCTTGAGCCCCTGTATTCATCTTTCATGTGAGCCGCGTCGAAGTTTCGGTGGAGGCGTGCGTCCAACAGGTCGTCAAAAAGCTGTTTCGTTCGGTACCATCTGTTGATGTCTGACGAAAGGAATGAAGGAACCATCAACGCGAAGCACGCCGGGGGTTTTACCTCCCACAAGTGCCGGGGCTGTTATTCAGCCTAACTCAGCCAGAGCTTCCAAGGCGCTTCAAGATCTAAGGCGTGTGTCTTTTGTCAAGCAATATTTGGCATGCCGTTCGCCAAGCGAAAGGACAGCACCGGGCAAGACTTGCAAAACTACGACCGACGACAACGTCTCCCACAACATTTGTATATGCCTTGACTTGACACCAACACAGCACAGCCTCACTCTCATTTGGCTTAGCCTTCGACTCCAGGATGCCATCTTCGAACTTGAACTTGCCACCTGGGACCGAGTCGAGTCTGCAGGGACCAAATTGTCGGTGGGTTGAAGCCAGGGCCACGTTTCAATCTGGGGAGACCTTTGGGGACATTGCCGGGATCCTGGCCGAAACAGACCCAAAGGCAAGCGTCCTTGACCTCCGATTTGCTCCGTGAGCTGTGCCAAACACTTTCGATTAACCAAAGGTCAACTCCGGCCATACGAGTGAGAGCAACAAGGCCGCAATGTGAAGATATCCTAACCTCCACCGTTAAAGCTTACCTGGTCAAGACTTGAGGGGTCGCTTATAATGAGAACTTGCTCGTTGGGTTCGTCGATGTAGCTGGTGGTCATTGAAAGCGCGTTTTGGGCGAATTTGAGGGCATCCCATTTAGCTTTCCCGGCACACACCTATTTCCCATATGTCCGATGCGCCTCGCTCTGGGTCCCCCTTCGTGACCCGAAGGTAAAGCACAACCAAACAAAAAGGGGAACTCCCTCGTAACGCCACGAGAAGTTCCAAATTGAAACCACCCATAGGCGCCCCCAAGAAAAAGAGAGCGGACCCACGAGGGAATTACGTGTCAAAGTGTTCCTGCGGTATCCGGGGTGTCCTCAGATCCCCTGCTAAAAGTTTAAATTGGGGGTTAAACTCGGACACAGCATCAAGAACAGCTTTCTGGAACCGTATGGCTGGTTGAACCACCACGTTAAACCTTCCCCCACCATAAGGAGCTTGGTTCAAACAAAAAAGAAGCATTTTCCCGAGAAACAAAATCAAAACAAAAGACGACGAGGAAAACCAGCTCAAATGTCATCAGCAATTCTCCTTTCGCCGGTGTTCGCTCGCCCGCTCCAAGCTCTCGCTCTCTCTTTTCCCGGCTCGCGGCGCGTGAGCTCGAAAGACTCCTCCTGGAAGCCGAAGGTCTCGGAGAACCAGTGGGGACTCGTGGTCTTGCCTGCCGGAGCGAGCACTGGAACCGAGAAGGGGATGTACTTTCTCGGACGTGTTTCTCAGATTTTTTGCTTTTTGGGCTCATGGGCCCCGTAAAAAAGGGGCAGAAGGAGGAAAAAGAGAAGATCAGGGTCTTTTGGCTGATCGGGCAAGGGCCCAAAATTTCGGCACCGACATTTGCATGTGCAATCCTTAGGCTGTAGACAAGGCAGCCATTTGGAGGGCGCTCGTCCTAAAGAGATCTGCCGTCTGGAGACCGGAAAAGGATTGAAGCGGAACAGGAAGACCTTTGGAGGCGAGTAGAGAAGCCAGGTGAAGTTGAGGTGTCACTTTTGAGGGGTTGCGTATCAACAAGGTTCCTTTGATTCCTACGGTCATATCCACTATAAGGAGTTGACAGTACAAAAGTCAGTGCTAAGGTGGATTCTTCAAGCATGAAACAGCTTGTAGGGAAGGAAAAGCTGGATTCCTTCAATTGTAGGAAGTTGGGAAGGATGGGGATGTTCCAACTCAATCCTCAATTCTGCCAAATGGCAGCGGTTCCCTTGTGTTCCACGGATTGGGATTCCAGTCGGATCCTTTTTGTCAGTCGTCAGACCCCCCTCCTGCCTGGCATTGTCCGGGCGTCGGTGTCACCCCTTCGGGGTGGGACACCCCGCGCGCCGGGAACCAGATCTTGTCTGCGGACTGGCCAAACTGGAACCATGGCCTTTAGCAAATGGATGAATTTTCATAAGGGACCCTTTGATGAAAATCAGAAGTGGGTGGGGATTCATGTCCACCAATCACTCTTGAGGTTCCCTATTTAAACTTCATGGCCAAATACCCTCCCACCAACATGGAAGTGCAAAAAGCTCGTTTCCAAGAGGAAAGTAGTCCTTCTACAGGGGTCTGTGCACTTCCATGTTAGCTGGTGGGAGGGTGGGTTCAGTCCCACGCCAAGAAAGCCAACACGTCATGCCAAGCCAAAACTTGCACATCCCCAACCCTGAGTGCAACCGTCCAGGCGTCCCGCGTCGGCACTGATATCATCAATAAATCAGAAGCTGGCAGTAAGGATATGTGGTTTTCGGAGGTGGTTCAAATGACTTCCGTCCAAGGGCTGCCCGCGATCACTGGCAACGTATGCATATGTCAATCAAAACAGATTCGCAAATGCAGACATGGATGCGTGGAAATATCTATGGAAGGAATTGCGGAGCTACGCTTGAACTCAAGGGCGGGATCCACAGAGAATATAGGCGAATCTGGACTTCTCCCCGCGAACTCCCAAACTCTTTTCCAGAACGTCTCGGTCACTCCGCGCGCTCGCCGGCACAGCCCGAGCGCAAAGCCCGTGCAAACAAAGGGCATGCCCCAACCTCTGTTTTGTTGACCAGGTAAGAGCAAGGTCTGGACACAATGAAATAACAAAATCACTTTGCAGTGCAAGAATTAAGAGTGCCAGTCATTCAAAACCTTTTAGATTGAACTCCGGCTGGCTCTTTCCCCTTCAGGGCTCATTTATTTTCCCGCCCTTCTTTCTGGCACGGGCATTCTAATCTCTGGGCGATGAGCCCACGAGTTCTCCTCTCGGCAAGCGAAAGCAAACGCCCTGATCTACCAGTCTCAGGTTCAGTCCTTGGTTGACAGGAAGGGGCCGAAAACTCACGGCGAAATCTTCCCCAAAGCATGGGCCCAGCAACAAGTCATGCTTGACATGGTTTCCAGGAAACCTTAGGACTCCAGTTGTTTCATGTTCGTCTTTCAAGTTGGGCCGAACCATGTGCCCGTGGTATCCCCCATATGGAGATACGCAAGGCTTCAGGCCAATTCGGGAACCCGGGAACCTGCAGAAAATGAGATCGTCGCAGTCACTCGAAACCGATGGCAGCCAAAGGCACGCAACAAGGAAAAACACGAAAAACAAAGGGCTTTATGCTAGGGCAGACTTCAAACCGACAGAGCTGGACGTGCAAATGCCATCGCTGCTGAAAGCCACACAATGCCACACAATTCCAAACCGAGCCAAGCACTGAAGCGCTATGCTCCGGTGGAGTCTGCCTCCGGAAAAAAAGAGCTGCAGCGGCGGAAGGTCAAAACTAAGGGCCAGAAATTGGGATCGTTGAAAGGCGGCAGGGTTCCAAGACTTCGCCTTTCCTTGACAAACAGTGAGAATTGCTCAAAAACCGGGGGGGTGCGGGCAACTCACTTGCCTAAGGTATTTGGTTCAGACCACTTAGGACATCGTGTGGGAGAGAGACTCGGCGAACCCGGCAACAGCTTGACATGGCAATCAAACAGGTGTCATTTACCGAGAACAAACAAGCAGCCGCCATCCCGTACGCGGTTTGACTCGGAGCAAATCTTTTCCGACGGAGCTTTCAGTACCAACAACTGTCAAACGGCGGAATTCTTAGACCTCCACACAAAGACCCAACCCCCCAAAGCCCAAACCAAACAAAATCTGCAACGCCCTGACAACCAAACCGGGTGAGGTCCCTAGGTGGGATCCTTACCCCCAACCCGCAATGGCAACCAAAGGAACTTGCACAACAGGTGCTGCTATATTTTTGGGCCTGACGAGGATATCTTGTTGGGAGGGACACTACAACCAACGCACCGAAACCGTTGGACAGGCATTCTTGCCCCACCCCTTCCTCCCCAACCCACCTCTCTGTCGCAGCTTGTGTCTCTTCAACCGCCTAGCGGCTTTCATCCAGCCGAATTCGCCACGAGAGCCAACGGAACCGGATTCCAAGCCAAAAACATCACTTTAAAGGGACACTCACCAAACACATGAGCCAGCAGGCGAGGTTTGAAAGACTGTTCTGTCTTTATTTTCTGGATTCAGCTTTCAAAGGCTTGGGCAACCGTGCAACCCTGTTCAACATCCAACGAACACCAAATGGTATCAAATGGTTGGCAATGAACTCATTGGGCTCTCCCTTTCCAAATTCATCAGCCAAAAAGGGCGTGCAAGAAGTTGCAGTATGATTCTTTCCTATGGTTCACCTATGCCTGGCCTGCACCTCGAGGGAGCCCGTTTCGGGATTGTTGTTGGAACATTAAATGGATACCGCACATTTCGGGTGATCCTGTCAGAATCAAAGACAAGCCCATAAAAGATGGGGTATTACACTACATCCAACGCACATCCATTTTCTAATTTGCTTGGGGGGATTCGGTCAGTCCAAAGACCAGCCACGGCATTGGCACTGGGTGACCTGTATCCAGTGATTGGTTACACGGTTCAGGCATGGTACGCCAGGCGTCAATTGAAAAGGCAGCTAGGTCAACCTCGAGAACGAAGGGTGTCAACCCGGGGGGCGTTGGGGCGCCGACCTTACCAATGGAGGGAAGGGTTGGTCGGATTCTAAGCCCGGGAAGCATCTTCGCTTTCGGCTATCCGCCTGCGCGTTGTTCTTGGCAACCTCAGTCAGGTTGCTATGTCTCTAGTGGCCTTGCTGGGTTTGCCAAGCTTGGGGCAACCCAATACAGCCTTACGAAGGGCATCCTTGCAAAGGGGATCTTTGCGGCTCGGATTGCGGCTGTGCCGCCATCTTCCACAAACAAATCGCTTGGCTTGTTCGCTTGAGCATCCTGATTGGCCACCGCAGCCAGCATTCCGCAGCATTCTTTGGCAAAGCTTGCGTCTCGGCTCGTTCGACCCATCTGGGAAAATTGGCATCATTCACAAGCCGCATAAGCGGCCTCCAAGTTCGGAGCATTCAAAACGGGGTGAGCTTGTTTTACCCCTCGGTAAGCTCAAAATTGCGAAGATCGGACCCGATGGCACCCTCTGATCACCACCAGAGGTCACTGTTGCAACATTTGCTTGAAGACCGTTTAGAGAGGTAAACCTTTAGCTTGCCTAAAAGAAAACTTGCGAAACTTTCAGCAAGTTTTGTTTTTTGCAATTTGAGGATGTCAGCGAGAGAATCCAAGATCCCGAAAAAAAATGGCCCGACAATGGGCCTGGAATTGGCCCCCGGAATTGAGTGGCTCCCAGCTTTGCAAACCAGAGGTGTCCTTTTGGGTAACATAGGTGGCCCTGGCAAATGGAACAAAACTGATGTGAACTGGTGGAACCCATGTTTTCTGTCTAAACAAACCAAGAAAGGCACCTATGGTTCCAACCCTTAGGAAGAATCCAAACGTCAGACCTTTGCCAGACTCGGCTTCCCTGCCATTTTGGCTGACCGGGCACGCATCTCCGTGCGCTTTTCGGGCGTCAGGACGAAGTCACCTTCAAGGATTGAATTGCAATGCCAGGCCACCCAGTTTTTGTGTTCCCCTTTTCATGTTCGCTTTGTTGGTTTCCGTTTTTGTGCTCTTTTTGGTCTTTTGCTTATAGACCCGTTCTTGGGGTAACTTTCAACCATTCTGAACCCAGGCTTTCCAGGAATCCAGGACTTCAAAACCAAGGGAACTGAACGTATAAACGTCTGTGCCTGAAAAGAGCGATGTTTGGGATATGGAGCTTTCCGAAAGAAACTACCCTCAGCAAGAGGCACCAACAAAGGCCCAAGGTTTCCCTCTTAGGCATATCACGCATGGAACCTGCTACTGAAACCAAGGCGGATGGTACCCCAGCCAAACCCTGCTCCGAACGGAACTCCGCTTTCAGCATTTGGAGAAACAAGAATCCAGCTTTTGGAGGCATTGAAGCCGAAGGACATGGTGTATCTTCTGAGCGCTTCCAATTTTTCGGGGAAGATTTCGATGGCAAATTGGCGATCCCCCTAGGGCCATGGGTCCAAGTCTGACCAAAACCTGCTCGCTTGGCAAATTGGGCCTCAGGAACGGGTGCGGCCTGCTGTTGGACATGCCATGCTCTGCAAATTGGCATGGCAGAAGGTCCTAAAAAGGGAACTTCCTCGATTCTTGAGCTTTCTTTGGGGGGGGGGCCTGGGGGCAGCATGTTCATCCACCGCTACTGAGGCTATTTGAACGGAACACCAAATAGAAACCACCCGTTTTGGGGCCCCCACTTTTGAACACACACCCGGAGAGAGAGAGAGAGAGAGAGATGCTTTGGCCATGTATTGCGTGCCGGGTCACAGAGCGTGAACTTGCTTTCATCGTTGACCATCATGGTCGAAAGGCTCAGCAGCCGATGAATCAAGAACATGGCTACACGCGGCCACGGGTTCGCGGAGAAAAGAGGTGACTCAGTTGCCAAGGTTCATCCAGCCTGACTTCTGATAAAGTCCTTGGCGCCAACTGGAATGCCAGGGTCAAAAAAAACGACCTCGTCAGCGTGCTTGAGCCAAGCGCGCTAAGAACATGCGCCTGCTACCAAGACACCTTGGGGCAATTGATGGGCCCTCGATAGATCCGTTCTCCCACTGTACATACCTCACCTTTTGCACTCCGCAGTATTTTTGGATTGTGGTCAATATCTAATGAGCCGCAACAATAAACACACTTTTTCGGCCTCTTCTCCTTTTTCTCTTCTTGCTGCTCATTTTTTCATTGCTTCTTCTCTTTCTTTCCCATCTTTAGACCTTTCGTTTTCTCTTCCTTCTTTATTGAATACTCTTGCTTTCTTTCTTTCTTTCTTTCTTTCTACCTACCTACGTTTCTACCTACCTACGTAGTTACTACCTTCCCATTTGCATATCGATCTACCCATCTAGCTATCTCACTGTCTCTTTGCCTATTTCTCCATCTACTTATCTATATTTCTATCGATCGATGTAGCCATCAATCAATCAATCAATCAACCAACCAACCAGTCGATCAATCAATCAATCAGTCAATCAATCTACATATCTTACCTCCCTCTACCCTGCTATCTAACAACCTATCTATTTGTGTGCCGATCTGTCGAACCTATTCATACCTACTGACCTTGCCCAAGCGATGCGCCTTCCGCGATATCCCGTATCTGACCTTGCGACTGCCACGAAAAACGTGCATGACCATGCGAAAGCTGCCGCTGCAACTTTACCTCCATCAGCTTGCTGAAAGACTCTGGCACGTTAGGGTACGTTCAGGCCAGCCGGAGCCGGCCGGCAACACATGAAAAACGAAAAGTGTGAGAGCGAATCGATCAGCGATCCCGGCAGGAAAAGTGGACCTTTGGTCTCTTGCGTGCTGACACCTCTCTCTACCCGTGTGAAGTCGCTCATGCGGATGCTCCTTGAGTCAATTAAGAGCTTGGGAGACAATCGGTGGGTGGGACTACGATAGACCTTGCGAAGCCGCGCCGGCACAAAATCCTTGCAAGGCCAAAATGTTGCAGAAAGTGCGCGCATGCGTTCCAATGGGCTCGGCGCCGTGGTCCGCACGTGGTCCGAGGTTGCTCCGACAGGAGTCGCGACCAGGCTAACTTTAGGAGGTGGTTGCAGTTTGTTGGCACGCGCACGCATTTTCGCGGTGCTTATTCTTATCTTGTCATCTATCTCGGAGAGCTAGCTTTCAATTGGTTGCCGCAACGGAAGGTGCCTTGTAAAGAGATTCGGAAAAGAAGCAAATTCACACATTTTGTTCACCTTGCCACAGTTAGAGGGACTCACGAGTCATGCCATCTACCTTCACGGTGAATAAAAAGGTTCATGCTGACCCCGATTCAATAAACCCATGCTACCCCTCCTGCTCTGTCGGCCCCAGTTTTAAAACACCCCGCGCACAATTGAGGCTTCTGTTTTGTGGTCGGATTCCTTTCTTGGGGGGCGCGGCCCGGGTTCGTGGCTGGTTTTCTTTTACCAGGGCCAGCATCAGTGGCGGCTTCCCATCACCGCCCTCCCTGATTCTGGGTCTTGGTCACGTTCATAAACGTCGGCTCAAAAGCACCTGGTTCTTCCCTCCGTACGATGAAGCGGTTAGCGCCAGAATGCAGCGATGAAGTGCCTGGCCCCAACAGAAAGCCTCCAAGTTCGGAGCCCCACTGTGCAGGGGTTCCTCACGTAGTGATCACCAACTTTCACTTCACACAATTCGAGCCCCTTCTCTTTCCTTCGCACACGGCTTCGCCTTGGCATGCAGCTTTGGCATGCAGCTGACGCGTTGCACGCACACTTCAAAGATCAAGTGGGACGCAGACATCTGGGCCACTATGTGTCCTTTTCGCCGTTAATTTGACGGGAACTCCCCCAACAAAAAAAACTGGGTGCCTGGGTCGCCTCTTGCAGACTTGTTGGACTGCGGCAATCGGAATGGGCTGATCTGTCGACTTCCCATGGACGGTTGACGTTCACCCTTTGACCTCCCCGGCCAAAGGTGGCCTTCTGCATTGCGACGCCCTACCCTCATTATCTGTTCCTCTTACCAGGGTTTTGCTTTCAGCCTCGGGGCAAGAGTGACTCTTGCCGCGGCAAATCATATTTATGCCTAAGAATCATGTTCAAGCAGCCCCAACATCATTTGGACACTCCGAAGTTGCTGGTTCTAAAGTTTGCACTGTGTTGTTGAAGTTTCCGCAAAACCTTCATCCAAAATTGCCGGAACCAGCTTGTAAGTGTGATATTCAGCACCGTCAACATGTATTCTTTGAGCAGCAAAGATGATGGTTGTGAAGGCTATGCAGAATCTCGCAAAAGTCACCCTAGAACCTCCTAACCGCTAAAGTTGCCAATTGCACTCGGTTTTGGGCACGCCCAAGCGGGTGGTAACCCCTTCAAAGCTCGGGACTGCAGTTACACACCTTGATGTCCTAGTTGGCCAAGAGGAGCAAACCTTTTTTTTTGGCCCTTGCAAAGTAAGCCTCCGAGTTTCGAAGTGTGGCTTTTGGCTCGGGCCGTTCACTGGAACCTGGGCGCGCAGGCGGATGTGCCCCAAGAATATGCAGGTGGGTGCGGGTAGATGGTGGGACGTAGATGGAGGCAGGTAAAGGGGACGCCCAAACCAGGTTTGAAGGGAAGTCAAAGAACCCGGCTGAATCATTGCCTGCAAAACAACTTGATTTCACCTTGAAATTATTGCAAAGGCCTGCGAAGTTGAAATGGGGCGGTGGGGCGCTGCTTCCGAATCGCATTCAGTCATGATCAAAGGATAACATACGGGTACTTCTTCAGCCCCTACTATCTCTTCTGGGGCAAATGATTGAAAGCCAGCTCGGATGCTGTGGTCAAAATGCCCATCACCCAACTAACGAAATTATCCAGGGGTTGAGCCCTCCTCGCAATATCTGTTTGGGGACGCTGAAATAATCTGAAATGAATCAACAATTGGGAGCAGCGCCGGGAAGTTGCCGCTACACAACAGTTGCGCCTTAAGCGACCAGTTGGACTCACTTGCCCTTCGTGGATAAACGGAAGGAAGCCCAAGCCACCATTTGTAGCAGAGTCTCCTTTTGGGAACCGCTTCTTGGGTTCCGTCCGAACAAAAATACAGGGGAGCCAGCGTCCTGCATGAGCCATGGGCAGCGTGAGCCTGCGAGGCTGTCCGCCAAAATACCGCATTTGGCTAATTGGTTAGCACTGACGCCGAAGGAAACAGCAAGACTCAATTCCAGAATAGGGGGTAGCGCAATTAAACGCTTTGCTTCCAACAAAAATCAACCTTTCTCGCGCGAGCGTCGGGGCAGGTGCTGCAGACACCCCCCCCCCATCTGGTTTCCTTTTGGTATGCCTCCTAAACCACGGACACGGTCTTTATGCCCGAAGGCTTCTCCGGAAACTGGGCCGCCTGGCGAAAAGGCAGCTCATGCCTCGCGCAGCGCGCGAGCCGGGCCAAAAACGGCGTGAGGTGCGAGTCTACCAAGCCCCCCCTGTACCTACTTGACTGGCGAGGGGCTTGTGTAAAGCTGGTGTGCTTTGGCATTTGGAGGGACAGGAGGTCCTGGGTCTAGGTTCTGCAGACTCCCCTCCGCAAGGCCGTAAGATTCTCCAAACTTGCGCAAGACACTTTGGCCCATTTGGGATTGTCGAAATCAGTGCTCCTTTTGTTTGCTTTTCAAGCAGCCAAAAGCACAGCAGACATATTTGGGTCCTAAACCCACAAAGACACTACACCCCGCTTCACTTGTTTCGATTAGACTGGTCCGGTCAGTTGGCGATAACATAAAATGACCCAATCAGTAAATGCAATCCAGTCCAAACAAACCTTGCTATTTAAAAATATGCAAACAAATGTATTGAGGAGGGTTGTGCTGTTCCTGAGGATCTTCCATCGAAAGGGGCGCCTGCCTATCATGAGTGAGGGGTACCCTGCTGGTTGGGCAAATGATTCTGGTATGAATTTTCAACAGTCAAAGTTGAAGGTCGAACTAAAGATCACGGTGAAGGAACACCCTTTTGGGGTAGGGGTGCATCTTGCTTGGGGTTGGTGACAACGTTTTCACGGGCATTTTCGGACTTCTGGTCCATATGTAGCGAACCTTAAACCCCAAAGTGGCGTTCCACAATGCTTAACTTGAGAAATCGTCATTTGAGAGGTCCCAAAACTAACTTTTGCCAGTCAGAGCAAAGGACAAAGCTCACAAAACAGGCACAAGATGGCCTTCCCCAAAAAGGGTAAGAGAGAAGTCTGGCAATGAAAAAGGACGTACGGCAAACCTGGGGCTGCAACCCAGGGCATGAACATGGCGAGGTGCTGCTTGATGGGACCTCGGTGGAACTCGCAATGGAGATAGCTCGTAGGGATTTGGACCCAACCGGGCTTTGCTCTTTGTCTAGATTTAGCCAAGGCAAAAAGGGTACTCCCAAGAAAAGGGGTACGTAATCTTAACGAGCACACACACACACACACACGCCCATCTCGGGAAGCCGATCCTAGGTCGGTCCCGGGTGGAGTGATACAACTTTTGTCGGATTGGATTGGCCAAAACGGGCAAGCGTTTTGTCCGCCATTCGACTCGTCTTCCCGACAAGTATAAAAGGTCTAGCGGTGTTATTGCACGGGAAATTCTTTGGTTATTTCCACATCAACCTGTCTTTTTGCAGCAATTTTTGGGCAATTTTTCTGAGGATGTCGCCTCAGAGTGTAACAGACACACCCTTGGGCGTATCTAATAGCTTGGAGTAGAGTCTCCCTCGGGCGTGATGCTGCTTTGCTTGTTTTGGAAGGTCGGTGAGGGTACCTCAAACATATTAGGACCATTCGCACAATGATCCAAGGAACTGGACACTGGGACTTATCGCAGCTGACTCGCTCAGCGCTTGGCTCATGGGTTCGAACCCATTCTCGGTCGCAAAGCGCTACGACGGCCACGACTCGTGCCTTCCCTTAGCCCGTCGCCCCAACGCCCTCGCTTTCATATCTCCGCGGAAGTCGGAAGGCGGAAATTGGCGACTGGCGCTGGGCGCCGGGCTATCGGCCTGGCACAGTTGGCCCATTCCGGTCAAGCTTTGCCCAATCCAAGGCCGAAGGGTCTGGGAGGGACTTGTCTAGGTCCTCCAGTAGAGAGCTTAGAATGAGGGTACCCGATTTTTCTGTAGTCTATTTTAGTAGGTAAAAGGGCACTACCGGGGGACCAGCTTGATGTACGCAGTGACCCTTCGTGTTCTCCCAAATGGCCGGCTTGGTGTTTGAGAGGGTGTCGCATCAAATGGTCGGGGGGTTTCCGTGCGGAAATCACTCCATCGCTTCATGGGGCCAGTTGTGCAAATAAAGCCCAAAGAAAACCATGGACCCATGGAGCACCCTTGCGTGTTTCACGATGTTGAGCAGTTTTCACAAAAAATAGGAGTCATGACCATTTCCCTCAGATGAAACAAGCAAACTGGTGAACAAACACGTCCCAACTCGGCACCTGAATCGTCAACTGACCCGAAACGGCCCGATATTGAAACTTCCATCGGATTCTTTGCACCATGGGAAGCACAGCTCCTTTTTAAATGGAGGAACCACAGGAAAACCAAATGCCTAGCTTTTGTAGCCTTCTTGGTTGACCCAGAGAGGCTCGGTGGTCATTTCTGTCCTCTTGCGCCCAGGGTCAGTACATCAGTGATAACCATCACACCCTAAGAACAAAGAAGGCAAGCATCCGAATCTAATAACTCCAGACTTGTGAAAGGCCTACCACCCCAGTTGATTGATAGGGGGGGGGTCCCTGGGTTTAGGGGCTAGAGAGGTTAGAATAAGGGTGTCTATTTTAGTAGGACCCTTCCCCGAAAAAGGATACACGGGCACTACTAGAAAACCTAGTCAATAGGGGGGGTCCCTGACTTTGGTGGGGAATCATCACTTTTAGCAGGGGAACGCCACGTCCTCGCCTCGCCACTGGCGGAGGGCCAGCTGAGGCGCTCCTCGCGGCGGTTTCGCCGCCGTTTTCGGAGGTTGCGGAAGTTGCAGTTTTTCAGTCACTGTTGCTGGTTTTTGGGGTAGTGGATGGCAAAAGGCGATCGCAACTGGCGATCCAGGAGGGAAATAGAGGGACCTGTCATGCAACCCGCGTTCGCTTGGGAAACCGCAAGGGATTGTGCCATGAAGCCTACCGCATGCACAAAACCAGCACCAGTTGGGATCAAGAATTCTTTCCCGTGGAACCTCGTAACTGGTGCAATGTTTTGTCAATCAAGTGCACAACCCATCGCAAGTTCAGGAACTTCACCGTGCCCTGGACGTTTCGGACACCCCTAGGGCCTATTGGACCAAATGATGAAATTCCCTGTTCGTACCCTCAGCTAGAGATAAGTCATCTATCAAGGGCTTGGGGAGTGACATTTTGACTAATCGCTGGGGTCCTTTGTCATCCCCCTTTCAACATCACACCACCCGAGATAAATTTTCTTGGGAAACATGGTTCGTAACTCTAGTGATGCTTGGGGGCTTACAACAGCGGGGTACGCAAATGATGCTCATTCAAAGGTTATTGGGCCACCCAAACCGAACATGCCTGACCGCCCCTTCTGCTTTTTTCCCTGGTGGCGGGGGGGAGGGGGGGTGGTTTGCATCCCGGTAAGACTCTAATTAAACGGACCGTAGATGTGTAGCGAGGCTTCTCTGAAGATAAGCAAGGAAGTCAAATGAAACCTTCGATGTTGGTCATCCTTTTCTTTAGGTCCTCGGAGAAACTCTGCTTGGATGTTCGCCGGGTCCATGAAAGTATCAGCCTATGTGCAAACACCCAGTTGCCAAGGATTCCTTAAAAGGGAAACCTAGCCTTCTTCCCATGCAACAATGGAATTCACAAGGACGTCAAATTCTCTTACAGGGACATTCCGTGAGGTTCCACTTAAGTGGGCAGAAGGGAAAACGACGCGATGCTTAGGCAACAGTGGCCTCATGTTCAAACCTTGCGATGTACCGAGGTTTGCAGTTGACTCACTTGTGCACAATGTATACAACGATTAGACTATATCTAGATGTAACTTGAGATAGGGTACCCCCATGTACCCCCTAAACTTCTTTTTCTTCTTCAGTTTCCCTTTACTTCCATTTATACTACTGGACATATTTTTTTTCTTCTCTTTTTCCAGGGGGCTTAAGCCAATTTTGCTTAAGCCCCCTGGAAAAAAACAAGAACTATTTCCAGTAGTAAAATAGGGGCCCTTTAAAATCAACAGGGGAAAAATAAAACAAGTCTTGAACACGTGGAAGTTTAAAACCTAAATGGGCGGACACCACGCCCTCCGCATCCACCCTCCCGCCGCGCGCCTTGGTGGTGCTCCTTGCCAGGCGCCGAGTCGGCGACTCCTGGCGAATCGACCGCGAAGCGGAACTCGGTTGCAACGACACAAAACGTTGAAACCTTTTGGGGGGTTTGGTGTTGAAAACCTGACTTGCACGAAAAAGTTGCCTAAAAAGTTAAACCAAAAAACAGTTAACTTGATTTCAAGCAACAAGTGAAAAAGTCTAAAGATCCAACTTGCCAATAGCAGTCAAGGGAAAGCCGCACGTTTTCGGCACCCCGTAGACTCAGATGCCCAGTGGATTTCCATGGGAAAAATAATTGGCATCCTTTGTTGGATGAGTTGAAAGGAATCGGAACCCTTCCCCCGAGAAAAAACAAAGCGGAAAAAAGGGCGCAACTGGTCAACTGGGTAGATTTCCCAAGTGTTTTTTTTTCACCTTGAAACAACAGAGGAACGGGATTGTTTGTTTGTTGACTTTATGGGGGTTGTCAGCTTTCCACCTGCCTCAATTCACTCTCCCCAAGTGACACTTTCGTGGAACCCAGTAACTTTTGAACAATGGTTCTCTAAATATCCCGGATTTTAGCAGACTGTTGCACATTAATATGTGGATGTCCCCCCCAAAATGCCTGCCTCCAAAATGGGTACGCCACGCCCAACTTCACTTGCACACGCGACACGCCAAGGTCTAACAGGACACTTACTGTGGATGGACGAAATCTAGCACCACCGTTCAGAAACCCAAAGGCATGACTCGATTCCCCAACAAAAATACTAACATGTACAGTGGATTTCAACCATGGCTTCAACTGTGTAGCGTGCCTGCATGGTGGAGCTCCTTGACAAAGGAGCCCGCCGGTTCGGCGAGCTCTCCTCCTCGCGACGGCGCATTTTGCGAAGACGCGTCCGGCCGAGTTGGGAAGGGTCCTCACTTGACCACAGACACAAATACTTGGCACAGGAGCTCCTCCTAGCAGCCGCAAAAAATAATAATGAAAAGCAGGGACAAGTCCATTCAAGTGGGCTTGTTCTGCCATTCCCACCCCAAAACATCTTTAAACACGTGCTTGGATGAGCGGAAAGCGAATTGGACACCACAAGGACCGAACAAGTTGACGGCACTTTCGGGTACCTGACGTTTACGTGTGCATCCCTCCTTGAACCCCCTTGCAAGGTGACACTACGTCTCAGACCTGATGCGATGGGGTCCTGGCTTTTTCCCATGGAAACTTATTCTGCAGCCGAGAAACAGCCCCACCTCGTGCAAGTGGCACTAACAAGCACCCTTTCCAACAACGAGATCACAAGAGCGACAACTGTGTTGGTGTCGTGCGAGCGCAATCGTCCCGCACCGCAGTCTTTGCGGCGCGCCTGCATTGTGGAGCTCCTTGACAAAGGAGGCCGAGTGGGTGAGCTTTCCTCCTGCAAGTGGCACACATGGCGACTGACTTGATTTGAGAATCATCCGACCGTCGGATTACTGCATTTTTCAACATTCCCCGGTCAGCTAGTGCAAGACAGCTTGCCAGGAAGCCTGTGAGAGGACTCTCGAAGTGCCCTTGAAGCCTACTGAAACTGACGGTGCAATTCAAAGTGATTGGCTCTGGCCTGTGAAATCTTCAACTTGAAAGCGCTTCCCCTGCAGTTGGCAAAGCAAGAGGGCTAAACAACTTGCCTCTGCAGGCTATCATGCCCCTTGTCGCCTGCCCCAAAACACGCAGCCCAAGGCAAATAAGATCCTCCATCGCGCGCGCTCGTCTTATGACGGCGGTGTCGGTCAAAGGTGGGACGTGGAAAGCAGTGAGGGCACCCTGACACCAAGGGGTGGCCACCTGGGCCTCACTCGATTGAAGCAGTCAGGTCGTACAGCTGCCACAGAACTGTGCCCTGTGTGAAGCGTGTTGCCTTGAAGTTTGCCAGGGAAAAGCGAGGAATACAGGACAAAGGCCACGCAATGCCCCCACAAACGGAGACTGTTGCTCGTCAACGCTGCGCGCCTGCATCGTGGAGCTCCTTACCAAAGGCGCTCGCCGGTTTGGTGAGCTTTCCTCCTGCGTGCGGAACAATGCAGTTTAGGAGAGAGATCCGACCATTGTCGGAATACTGCTTGTTCCAAAAAAGGATCGCCCCCTTTGACTAGTACAAGTCGGTTTCAAGATGGCAACTCCTGCTTGACAGGAAGGTGCAAACACTAAGTTGGTGAATTCAAGTAAGTTTGTACCGCCACTCCCGCCACTGCCTCAAAACCCACCCCAAACAAAAGAATATTAAATCATCCGTGAGGCTTAGATGAGAAGAAACCGGCAGGGCGTTCAAATTGCGGCAGGGCGTTCAAATTGGATACCAAAAGAACCAAGAAGAAGTTGACTTTTAGGTACGTGCTGTGCATCCCTCCTCGGACCCCTTTTGCAATGTGGCAGTCATCTCACCCTGTCCCAAAACAGGAGCTTGTTTTGGAAACCTGACGAGGCTTTGTCGCATGGAGACGTGTAAGGGAATCAGCAGCCGAGAAAGAAGTGGCACCAACAAAAGCAAGCAGGGTCGCAAAATGGTCGCTCGCAGCGTGTCAACAACGCTCGCAGCATGGGCAATTCCTACAGCATGGCATCGCAAAAGCAACGACCGCCAGTCTGCGTGCCTGCATCGTGGAGCTCCTTGACAAAGGTGCCCGCCGATTAGGCGAGCTCTCCTCCAGCAAACGGAACCATGAAGCATGCTCTGATTGAGGAGAGACACCTGACCATTGTCGGATTACTGCCTGTTCCAAACGAGGATCCTGATCAGCTACCATACATCGTGGCAACGGCTTCGCCTTGCCCGGACTGCCCAAGGCTGCTGCTCTCAAACCACCCTTGAAACCATCCGAAACTGAAGGAATCAGTCAAGCTGCCTTCAAACAGAACGCACGTCGTTTGCAGTCGGAAAACCATTGTATAATTGCATCAGGGGAAATGCTGCCTGACAACTTGGGCGGTGCAGGCAGCCGTCACGCCGCAGATTTTGGGCGTTCCAAGCCACACCCGAAACAAGCTCAGACCTCCGATGGAAAAGTGTGGTGCGATGGCTTTCAGTTCGGCAACCAAAACAAAAGTGGAGGTCGATCAGCGGGTGGCTTCTTTCCATGGAAGCTTGTTGAAAGCCAGACGCAATCAAGTGGTAAGTTTGCGAGTGCCTTTCAGTCTGCCAGGGAAAGCGATCGGCTAGAAGCACTGCCGTTTGGGTCTCATATCTGAGATTCCCTCAAACTAAGCCGCTTTGGGCCTGAAGGCATACAAGGGGTGGAAACAAAGCTGGGTGCTCAGAAAATCAGTTGCTCCAGTGGGCATTTCTCCCACGGGGTCCCTGGCCCCCGTCTGCGATGCGCACCTGTGTGGAGCTCCTTGCTGCAGGTGCCAGCCGCTCGGGCGAGTTCTCCTCCTGCCGGAGCAAAGCGGGACGAGTGCTTAGGAAATATCGCCAATCCTCGAAACGTCGCCACAGGCAATGAAAGGGTGCCCCTGATCAGCGACCATCATCAGTTGCTTTTAAAACAGCATTTGTTGAATGGAATCCCCGCTTTGGAAGTCATGTTCATAAAAAACCGCACGACCACCTCGATGATGGAACCCCTCTGAAACAGAGTAGCGTGGCTCAAGAAAACTGCCGTTTCTGGGTTTTACAATGGTGACCCCCCTCCTTTTTGAGACGGCACCATGGGCGCCTATTTTAGTTCCGTAATTAGCAACTGCTGCCACAGCACCCGGCGCAACGCGCGCCACCGCGCGCCTGCATAGTGGCGCTCCTTGAGAAAGGCCGCCGGTTGGGCGAGTGCTCCTCCTGCACGCACAACAGAACGGGAGAAACATTCAAACATGAAACCATTGCCCGTTTCAACAGAGGATCCACCTCATCAGCCATGTAGAAGTCGCTACCAAGGATGCGACAGCTTCTTCTTGACAGGAAGGCAATATACAAATGCTCTTCTCGAACTGCCCTTAGACGGCCGTCAGATCAGTCATATGAAGCTGTCCCCTGCAATGGAAATAGAAGTACCGTCCCCTTCCAGGACCCTCCCTGTCAGGTTCCCTGGTATTTGTAGTCCTTCCCAAGCATTCCCAAATATTCCCCAAACAGTTGAAACACCAAATCAAAAACCAAGGTTCTCAGCAGGGGTGATCTGCTAGCAAATCAACATGTTGACACTTCTTTGGGGACCTGCTAGCAAAGCAACATGTAGGCACCCGCACGCCTGCATGGTGGAGCTCCTTGACAAAGGCGGCCGGTTGGGGGAGCTCTCCTCCTGCGTGGAACAACATGGGGCGACTGATTTGGGAGAACCAGCCTTGGACATCCTTGGCTTCAGACAAGTTGCCAGTGAACATCCAAACATGCCCGTTTCAAACCAGGATCCTCCTGATCAACTGGTACAACTCTCTTTTAGGTGGCAACAGCTTCTTCTTTCAATGATGTCTGCAACAGAATGCTGCTCTCGAACTGCTCTTGAATCATTGAAGCCTTCTAAATCTGAAAGGTCGGTTCACGCGGATTCGCCCCATGTCCTCAAATGGGAAGGCGCGTCGTCTGGTATGAAGACCGTTCGCTATTCGATGTCCACAAGGAGAAGTGTCAGGAGAAAGGGGCTAACTGGCTGCACGCATTCTCTCATTTGAAGACTAAATGGGGTATCAAGTGCCAAACCCTACATACCAGCTGTCTACCTCAGTTTTACCCCAACTGAACATACTAAATTTCTGGATTATTTATTTGGTGAGCCTTCAGGATATCAACAAATATGCCAAATTTAGCAAACATATCCCATAACAACAATTGGGCAGCTTTTCGGAGGCTTCGCGCAGCGCCGACTTCCCGCCCGTGGCCATATTCCGCGAGCCTGCGTCCTTCGGTCTGGCGACCGGTTCTCCTGGTGGATTCCGGATCAAAGGGAAGAATGGCGCCAGGAACTACAACCTTTGCAACTCCAACCAAGGAGATCCCCAAAATGCTTTTCCATGATCACCCTGAATCGGTGTTCCCTGCCAACCAAACGATTCGCCTGAAAATGTAATTGCATGGGTAAGCTCGTGTTAACCCCCAAATGGGTGAGCTCGGAATGGAATACTTGGGATAGCCGGTGATAGCCGGTTGCGCGCCTGCATCGTGGAGCTCCTTGACAAAGGCGCCCGCCGGTTTGGCGAGCTCTCCTCCAAAAATATCCAAACATTGTCGGATTGCTTCCTTCTGTCCTAATACAAACCGTTGCAGTGGCTACAGCTGTTTCTTAGGCAGGCTGCAGTGCCCAAAACCTCACTACTATATGTCGCACTATACCAAAGGTGATCACCATGTCGCACCTTTCCAGCAGCTTGTCTTGATGGCTTGGACGTAGGGTACCTTCTCATCTGGTTTAAAGTGGGTCCAGGGTTCGAACCAACCCAAACCACCAACCCAGGGGGCTGAGCATGTCAGATTTCCTCTAGGTGGCGGTTTGGATTGGCCGTTGTGGGTGGCTTCCCTACAAGACCAGGGGTTCAAACTCCCAAGCCGTCCCGGCCGACCAAGGGGTATCTGATAGGGAGGTCCGGATACTAGATTTGAATGAGTTGCAAGCCCCTGCCAAATTAACATGGAGTCAAACAAGCGCTCATTTTGAGAAGAACCTCCTTACCCGCTTGTTGGATTCCCATGTTGGTTTCCGCGGGACGGGAAAGAAACTTGGGACCCCGGCAAACATTTCATCAAAACTGGGAAATCCAAAGGACAGATTCTGGCGATTCGTCTGGACTGGGCTGCTAGCGAGGTCCAACCAGGTTAAACGCCTGAGCCCAAAAAAGAAACAAACACCGAGCAGGGGCAAAGGGGAAGCCTGACCCGAAAACCGTCATGAGACCCAAAGCAGCATCTTTGTGTAGAGGAACTTCTCTTGGGGCAGCACGCGCTTTTGGGTTGCCATGACAAGTTGCAGCAGAAGGTCGCTCAAGCAGCCTTCCGTGCGTATTCTCACATGGCCATGCTACGCGCCTGCATCGTGGAGCTCCTTGACAACGCCTGCCGGTTGGGCGAGCTCTCCTGCGCACGGCAACACCGGGGCCTGGGATGTCGCATCCACCCCCCCCCCCCCCCCGGTCCACAATGATCCTCCTGATCAGCTGTATTTCAAGGATACATCCGGAAACCATGAGATCGCCTCACAAGATCCTGTTTATCAAACGAGCTGGAGAAGAATCCTTAAGTGTCCCACGTACTTCAAGGAACCCTGGTCTGAATGATTGCGCTGTGAATGCGGTTCGCTTTTTCAGGTCGGTCCCTTAGTGGCTTGGACTGGTTTGGGGGTTTGAACTCCTCCCAAACCCCTTAGGGTAAAATTGGAAACACACCCAACCTTCAAACCAATCCAAAGTCCCAAAATAGGAGATCCGCAAGCTGCTTGGCTTCCTTTTGGTTTCCCTGCAAAACACAGCCAGAAAGTGTACCACCAGTTGCAACCCATTTGGACACTTGCGCCTGCACTGGGCTCCTCGCCTGCTTCGGGCTCTCCTCACGCGCGGGTGGGGCATCCTCTGTTGCTCAATGGCATGGTCCAAGCCAAAATGACTGAAGTCCAGGAACCCAGGTGGTCAACAAACAAGTAGCCAAGGAGATTCTCAGTCGTGATCTAAGGCTCAGGAGAGCCCTTTTGACCCGCTCCGAAAAATACTAACGGCCCCTTGTGGAGTTTCTTTGCTTCTAAGAGACGACACATGCTAGGGCAGAAGTTCCCTTTCAATGAGAAATGTCTAGAAAAGTTAGAGGAGGGTGAAACGCAACAAAGAGAAACAACTTGTGAAGTGTAGTGTGCTGCGCAAGTCCCGCCTTGCCAATGGCCAAGTCTGCATGCTTTTTAGCTTCACCTCTGATGCAAACAAAACACACCTTCCACTTCCACAACCCTTCCGCCCCGCGCGGCGAAAACGCGAGCGCCTGCGAGGCGGAGCTCGTGGAACTCCGGGACGGCGCTCGCTGGGAGTCCTTCGAACGCAACGGCGATGCTCCTTTGGTTGGAGCCTCTGGTTAGAGAGGGTCACTTTGTGCCATTCGAGATAGAGATGGGTGGGTCATCGAATTCAAGGGGAACAGGGTGCCCAAACTGGGTTACACCAAAATCCATGGGGTGCAAGGCACAACTCACGGCAAAAGGCTCCAAAGGTCCTGTGCATTGGGAGCTTGGCGGTGGGGCGACCGGTTCTCCTGGCACGTGGATGGTTCCTCCAAGACAAACTCTCGTTCAGGAACAGCAACATCAATGTATGTCAGTCTTCAAGGGTGCGCCGCCTGGAATCAAAAGGCGGTCGTTTTGGACACTTGGCAAAAAAAGGTGAGCGTTTAGGCTAATTGCAACCATCCTCTTCAATCACTCGTCCACAGGAGCCGGGGTTCCACCAGCAAGGGCAAAACAGGTGAAAGCTGGCGTGCCACGTTGTGTTTAAGTTTAAGACCAACCTTTGCCCACAAGGGTGTCTGAGTGCTGAATCGGAAATGGAGTCGGCAGAATGATGGGCCTGCTCTTGGACCGGTCCTTGGGAATTGTTGGCGCGGTCACCCAGGGCCATTTGAGAGAAGTCCTTTGAACGCCATGGTGTCATTTGTGCGGTCAATGCAACGTTTGATTCTTCCAACCGAATCTCAACAGCACTCGGGGCCCGACCCGTCGCTTCCGCCCTTCAAATTGTGTTCCATGTTTAACATGACTTTTACAGCTAGCCTGTCGCCACATGGCACAATCTTTGGGTTGGCCCTGTGTCAACACAAACCTTGCATCAACGATCTCAACAATGGGACCAAAAGTAACAGGTTCATAGCGCCCATGCTCGAATGGTGCCTGGAAGCTGGGCCAGCCGTTTGCCTGGCGCGGGCACTGAGCCAATCATGACCTGGTTGGGAACATCATAGATCATCGTCTTGTCATGGCAATTCAGGGGTTTTTGTTCAAAAGACATCGACATAGGAATGTGACAGTCAAACGCGGATGGGCAAACACCACGCCGATCGGCATCGGTTGGTGAGTGGCTTAGATTCATTCGTTCCAGGTGCAGGATCCAAGCCCATCCCTGAACGGCCCCTGTGCGAGGCTTGTAAGTGGGAGCACCTGTGCGCTACCTGAAATTCCCTGCGACATAAACACAACGACATGGTCCGAAATAGATCGAAAGACCGAAGGTCTGAAAACTATTGTCTGCACAAAACGAACACCCAACGCCCAGGCTTTGATGGCTCCCATCAACGCAGAACTTTTTTCAGCTCCTTGTGGGCCACTTGAACCTTGGGAAACGTAGATGGCGCGGGAAAATGATTAGATCAACCCCCAGAGGGGTTGGGTTATCCTATTTGAGGAACTTTTATTTTCGGGCCCTCCCCCAGCAAGTTTCTCTGTGAGTCTACATCATCAAACGCCCAATTGTTTGTGAAAGTCACCTGCTTGGTCAGATTTAGCATGGGCTACTCCTCCATGTGCTATCGTGTCGAGGGACCCTTGTGGGCGAAATTACCTTGCTGGGAGCATCGCGGGATTGGGGAAACCGCCGGAAAAACTGCGGGAACATCTGGCAAACCGCTGGAGAACCACGAAACCAATGGAACAACTCCAATAGTTTGCGGGCCGATCCGGCTCCAATGAGACATGCGGCACTTTCGCCGCGCCTCGCTGAAGCCAGCCTCGCTGAAGGCAGCCTTGCGGGAGGAGCCCGGGTTCGAACGCTCACTGCCGCTTGTCCGGAGTCATGGTCCAACAATAGACCACAGAGCGGGAGTACCACGGGGGGGAACTTCGATGGAATCGACACAAGGACACACTTAGATCAAGGGACACACTTTAGATCATACTGGAGCTCCCACTCATCTCTAACCGTTCCCTTGTTGAGGATACATTGCTTGAAACACCTGCCTAGCATGGAATTCGACAAGCAACGCCAAGTGAAGAGTCGCGCTTGACATGCCCAAGCAAAGTTCCTTGGAACGTGTGCCTCGCAATCACCTGTCAAAGGTGGGACCGTGCCCCAAACACCCCAGCATGAATGGTCACATGTCCAGACCTTTCTATTGGTTGATCCGGATCTTCATCATCCAGGTTTTGAGCCCAACACCAACAAATTAACACAACATGCGCACCTAACGCGGACGCACCGGGAACAATTCTGGCCTGTTGCTGGCCTGGCCAGGCCTGGCGTGAAATGCGGCTTGGCCATTGAGAGGCTCGAATCCTGGTAACTTGCTGTAATTCACAAGAATCCCCAAGTAGGGGACCTTCATGGGTGAGCTTTTCTAATAGGTGAGCTGGTTACAATTTGGCCAGTTACGGCATGTTTACAGCCTGAAACATCTCTACCCGCCGAAATGCCTGTACTTTCTGAAACACATGAAGCTCATTTCATTTTCCGAACTGCACACAACTTCTTCTTCCAGGTGTCTTTGCAGGGGTCAGGAAAACAACAAAGCGGACCTGCCGCGCTGGTTTGAATGATGGCACGGCTTGATAAGGAGCTGCGGTGCCTTTTCTGGGGGTTGTATCTTCCCAACCTATTCCTCTAACTCGCACCATCTTACCATCTCCTGGCGTCCTTGCGCCTGAATGGATCCCTTAGAATGCGAGGCTTAGAGAGATAAAGTTGATTCGCCGGGGCCCTGCTCCGGCCCTTGCGCCCGAATTTTTTCGTGCCTCGCCCGGCTCGAAGGCTGGCCAGGTGTTTGCCTGTCCGATCCGCGCTGAAGGTCTGGGATCCACCCCCAAACCACTTCAAACGGAAAATGGGGGGGTTGGGTTGGGGGGTTGGATGGGGGCGGGCGCTGATATTGGCATGAAACCTTCCATGGAATGGCCTACCGGTGACCAGGGAATCAACGAAAGAACCTACACCCGCCATTTCTCCCAGCCACTATCCTGGTACCCTTTGTGGTGGGATCCTTACATTCCTTTCCAGGATGATTTATACCTCAGCCTAACAAGCTCATTTTTCGACACACGCTTTTAAGCAGTGGTTCAGTGATCCCTTGCTAAAAGCGGAGCTTTCGGCGGGATACGTCATACACTCCCCTGCAACCTCTAAACGCTAAAATTCTCAGGTTCTAGCTGGGAACCGCCCTGTTTGGTTGCTAATAGCAAGCGAAGCGCCTGGAGATGAACATGAGACCACAGTCAGCCACAAATGGACCATTTTCTCCCCCCTAAGAGTTCCTCAGTGTACTTGCTCCTCGAAGACGTGACTTGAATTGTCTCACAACCGGGGGCAACCCAAAAAGAAACGGCGGGCGTTTAATTTTGAGGACATGTGAACCGAAGAGGAAGCAGTGTGTTGTGCAAAGTGCTCCTTGCAACACCCCGTCATTTCCAAATGCCACCGTGAGGCCGGGAGACTTGCCTTCCGACCTCCTTCAATTTCATGAGGGTTTTGAATTTCCCAGCGGGCTCAAAAGGGATTCACTTTGGAAGCTGGATCTCGATATAGGTTGGCTGCCGCAACATTGAACAAGCAAACTCTCGCAAGCTTTCAAGGTGATTATTGCTCTACTTGCAACACTCGGGAATTCAATGGCATATGTCCTCCAAACCGCACATTCTTTTTCAGGGGCTTGCTTCGGTTTGGCTTTTTGGCGCGCTTCGCTCTGGTCCTCTCGGACCTGCCCCATCCCCTCCCGCCTCCTCTCCGAAGGTGGACGCCAGCGCATCCCAAGCCTGCAAAAAAACGGAACCAAATAACGAAGTGGTTTCCCTGTCGTTTTTGATTTCAACTCCCAGAAGGCTAAGAAAGACATGCCCAGGTGCCGACGGGGCGGGCAAATTGTGCGGTATCCGAGGTCGCAGGTTACAGGTGGCCGGGCTCTAGATAGAACTGAATGAATATGACAGTTGACCAGCCTTGGGATCTGAACGGTGGTTGCCAAACTCTGGAAACCAAATGGTCACTCATTCCCTTGCTAGGCTTGCTCGCAACACAACAACAACGGATGCCGCCAAAGACCCACGGCAACCAATAGGTGGTTACCTGCAATTTTCTCCAGCGTGGTGGTTTGTTTCCCAGTGCCAGCAATGCAAAGCATGCAGCAGTCACCCTCCCCAGTGTAAAGGTCCAAACTTTTTGGACCTCGAACATGAAGAAGCCAACCACACGTTTCGTCAGTTTTCCAACTCAACATGTTTCATGAGGTGGCCAAAACACTTGGTGAAAGTCCCCTTCAAGCATCCAATATTTTTGTGTGCGCCTTTTCTCTGAGGCCACCTGACGTTTTTGATGGCCAGTTGGGGTTCCACAATGTGAAGACACACGCATCTAGATATCAGTGATATCATTTATGATCGTTTCCCTCCAAGCAAGACCGTGCCAGTGACTGGTCGAACAAGAACTGGTTGCAGCTGGAATCCTTCTCAAGGCTGACCATTTTATTGGACCTTACCAAACAAAGAGGGAAACGACAGTGACATCCACTTTATGCCAGAAAAAAAGTCACAAGAGTGGGACATGTTGGACCTTTTTTTGGGCCAGGACCATGTTGTTTTTTTTTTTTAAAGGTGCCACTGGTAAGACCCCCTTTGCCGCATGAACCCGGCTCAGCGGTCACCGGGTGGCGGCCTCCTCGTTGAAACCCGCCTGACAAACTAATAGAAGGAGGAGTTGAAAGCTGTGACCACCTCAACGCCCACAAGCAAAAAACAACAATCCTCCCACTAACATGGCACCTGTGGGAGGATACCTGGAAGATCAGATTCCTCTTGGTGGGAACCCTTGTCAGGTGCCATGTTAGTGGGAGAGAGGGTAAACAAGCAAAGAATTAAAGAAACATAGAACCAAAGAACCAAAGAAGCAAAGAACCAAAGCCACAAACAAACAACAAGGCAAACAGGCGAATAACCAACCAACACAACACGCAACTGCAGCAAATAAAACGCAATGGTACATACCGTTTCCTTTTCATCCTTTTCCTCATCAAATCTCATAATGACTCCACTAAAAGGAAAATCGCTTGAAATTGGCCACAGGTGATGCTCGAATCCGCCCAGCAGAACATTCCGTTGGCCACCCTGTGGTGTTTGAAAACCATCCAGCTGGAAGGTTTGTTTATCCGAGTAGAAAGGTAAGATTCAGCTGAACAACACAGGTGGCAGCAACAGGTCACGTGCTGGCGTCAGGCATCGGCACGAATGACTTGGCGCATCACGTGGGTGAAAGTGGGCATGCCCTTAAAAAACTGCAAGGGCTTGAATTCAAAGGAGCTTGTGGATTTGGCACTTAAACCCCATCATGTGAGAGCCATGTGCGATGAACTCCTGGCACTCTGATTGGATATCCACCTGGGATGGCGCTGCATCCTGTCGGCCGGGGCTCTCTTTGGGGGCACAAGGAGGGGGGAGGCGATGTGAAGCTCCAGGACCCCATGAAAAACCACTGGGCATGACTCCTCAGATGCCCAGTGGATTTTCGTGGGAAAAACAAGGCATCCTTTTTTGGTTGGTTGAGCTTAAAGGGGAATTCCCTTCTTCCCCCCAAGAAAGGAAGAAAGGGCGCCACTGGGCAACTGGGTGACTAGACAATCATTGGAATGCGCTTCTGGTTGAAGGGTTCCTGGTTGAAGGGCTTTTCGGTAGGGAGTTGGGTGAAAAGCTTCCGAAAGGGGCACCCCCCGACAAAACACGGGCCCGGCTTGATGAATGTCATGAGACTTATGGCCATTTCCGGAAGGCATATGGAAACTAAATCGGCACACAGAAAATGTGCCATACTTGGGTCTATCTTTTTTTTGGTTGGTCCACCAAAAGGCAATCCCGCCCATTTAGGGGTTTCGAATCCTTAAAAGGAATCGAGCCTCCAAAAAAAGGGCAGCTCAAAAAGTTCGTGTAGGGTTCCCTTCCCATGTAAACATGGACCCCCAGCCCTCATTTTTTGGATCGGATTCCTCCGAAAGGGTGACCCGCTGTTGGGTCTCAGGGTCTCAGGTTAACTGGCCGAGTGCCAAACATCCAAATGAGCTTAACTCCTAAAATAGGCAGACACATGGGGCATATACCCTTGATATCCTGCGCCCCCCGTTGTGGTTAAATGGTGGCCTGTTTTGTTCGGAAAGGGAAACCAACCTAAAAGCAACAACTGTGGGGCTCCCCCGGCCGTAGGAAATGGATTCCACGAGTCTGTGATACATCAAATTGGGCCTCCCAAAGCTTGCCACAATATAAGGGGGCAGATCCCCTTGTATCACATTTGTGTGGTCGGATGAACCGCGAGTGATCAAACCCCAACCCGGTGGTTGGCACTCGAGATCTCCGGGGCGAGCGAGCGGCTGCTTTTCAAGGACCAAGACCCAGGGAAAAAACGGACACGTTTTTCTCGAAAGGACCGATTCTGTCAGGTGATCGCTGTTTTTGATCTCTATAATGTGAAAAGGGGGACCCTAGTTTGAGGAAACTCATTCTTGCCTCCATAGTGGTTAGTGAGTTGAAAACCAAACTTTCCTGTTGGTGTCTCTATTTGAAGGAGTGATCAGGAAAACCCAAAAAGCGTGGCAAGTCTCCGTTCAGTAGGTAACGTCCTAACCACTTACAAAGATCTCTGCCCGTTTGAGGGGAGGCTCCAGCATTTGGGAATTCTCGGGCAAAGCAGTTCAAGGGAATCTTGGTTCGGGAAATCTCCATGAAAGTCGCCAACACAAATCACAATGTGTCGATTCTCAAAAATTGTTAGGTTTAAGCAAACTCTCCTAGGTTCTTTTGAGGGGACTGGGGCCTTGAACGCCAAGGTCGAAAAACCCATGGAAAATCGACACCGGCAAGTGGTTGGAATCAACACCATAAGTTCCATTCAAGCAAACTGACAGAAACGGGTCAAAAGGGACATTGAAGGATGCCGTTGAATGGAAAACCCTTTGATTTTCCAAAAAGTTAAACACGGGCCCGTGCGAATTCCAAGCCCGCCTGACTCGCCCTCTCCGAAGCGGAACTTGTCGTTGCGCCCTGGCGGCAAGGTATGGCAAAAACTGGCTGTGAATTTCAACTACAGAACACCCAAACGGCTTGCGTGGCTCTTGCAACGGGTGGATTTTGTAATGGGTTTGTCAGCAAAAAGGGTGGTGTGGGCCCAAACGTCAGAAGGGTAAGAATGGACGCCCTTGACCGCCAGCAGACTTCCAGGCTAAAAACAGGATCGTCCGCCTTTCTGTTTTTGGGTAGTCGACTTCCACAGGTGTTCACGCGGAGGTCTGGGTCTATCTATCCCAGGTAGCGCGGGCCCCATGGAGTCCACGCCCATACGCACAACAGGGCTCGAATCGGTGGGGTTTTTAATGTTGACCCTGTATTTTTCTCAGCCCCTTCTTTTTAAAAGGGGGGGGCAACTCCAAGAGTGGTCGGTCGGATTCTCCAATAAGTCCAGGGACCTCCCACTATGATTGATTAATATGGGGCTAAGATTACCTGGTGGTTGTACATGGGCTTTCTGTGATACCAATGTGCTTGACTTCGTTAGGGGACTTGGCCTGCCGGTAGCGACGCATGCCACGTGGCAAACTTTAACCCGTTGGCTGCGAAGGCTGGCACGTGGCAGGGTGTTGCCTTCAGCACCGACCCTTTCTGCAGGGGACATCAGAACCCCGCCCCAAGTGACCCGGCCTTATTCTGCCTTGGCCTGATTCTGCTTGGAGAAGGCCAAGAGGCCAAAACCCGATGGCCCAGTGACCCTGGTAAGAGATTGGAATCCACATCTGGGCGAACCATTGCAAGGTTCTTTGTGTCCTTCAAGGCCAGGGATCTTATTGACTCCATTGCAGCCCTCAAAATCACCCGAGTGGTGGTTGAAAGAGACACCACCCACAAAGTAATCTTGACCCCCTCTGTTTTTAATGTAGCCACTTTGGGGGACCCAAACAAATAACAACCACAAACCATAGTGTCCCGATTTGATTTCCCTACCTGGCTGAACAAATGCCCTCAACATATAGCAATCCGCCCTGAGCGACCGCCTCTGCGTTGCCGCTTCTGCTTTCCACGCCCGGGAGTGGCGCCAGGGATTTAGCGGCTGGCTCCTGTCGGAAACGTCCCTGACCCTCATCGCGCCCATTGAAATGCAGCTGGGCGTGTGTGAACTTCTGGGGGCGCCTGACATCCTTTACATTTGTGCGGTCATGTTTGGAGAGCGGGGAAAGGAACCGCCCAGATCTCCGTGTGTGTCTATTCCTGTTGAAGCTGGGGGTACCCAACCTGGAGGGTCGACAAAGACAGGGTAAACAACATGTGGGGCACGCATCCCCAGGTGCACATACCTGTTTCGGTGAGTCAAGTCATATCTTGTGCATTGGCAGCTCGACCCCAGGCTTTTCGCACAATGTGGCGTGGGTTCTCCCTCAAAGGGTCCGCCATCCGCTCCTCCACTCACCTGCCAATGTTGCTACCGCCCTCCGATTTGTCTACGTCATTTTGTTATGCTCGGCTGTTGATGCGCGCCCATTTCACTTTCGGCTGGAATGGAGTAACAGTTGAAGGGCTTAACTTTCCAACCCTTGGTATGGTAGCAAAGCACTTTTCTTGTTGGCAGCCCGCGCTAAAAGTGGCATAAACACCTGCCAACAGCAGTGAAGTTGAGCCCATGCATGCCCATGCCAAACGGCGGTTACCCCCATGCGGGGCCCAAAAGGCATGTTAACAACCGGCGGTTTCGCCATTGATCAATGAATGCGTCTTGCTGGTTGTCTTGCAACCGGACTCATCTGTATCTCGTAGTGGCGGACAAGTTCCCCGGGTCAACTTTTTAGGTCAACTTTTTAGCCACCGCCCACAATCGTTGTTTCTACGGCATGGTGATCAAGTCGCGCCTTCTCCAACCCAGTTCATCATATAGTGACCCTGATAAAAGGCTCGGGACCCTTTTGGGGGTTGACTTTGTTTAATGGGGAAGCCACCAAAAGGTGCCGAAAATCAGGGCTGTGGCTTCCCAAAGACTAACCCCGCCATATAAAGGGGGAGATTGCCTTGTATCACAGAAGTGGGGAAAACAACCCCTTGATCCCCCAACCCTGCAATGGTCTGAGCTGGGCCAAGGATTTCAGCTAACGCAGTGATCCTCGGCCGCATTGCCGGGCCAAGCTGCACCGCCGAAGCCCTGCGCTTGGACCGTGCTGTTCGCCTCACGCGGGTGCGGGCAACGGGTGTGTGGTAAAATCAGACGCCGCCTAATCCAGAAGCCTGAAAGTCACACCGAATACCGGTGTGCTGTTTTTTTTTTGCCATTACAACAAAGTTTACTAAACAACAGCAAGCAACCTTTCCGAGTAGCGGCGCGCAATGCTTAGTGTCAGGAAGGTTACATTTCTGCGTGGTGAATGTCACTCGGGTGTCTAGAGAATGGGGAACGTCTAGAACATCCGCGGAAAGGCTTGCTAGTGTACCCAACCTTTCAACCTTTGTGTAATGCCCATACCATGCCAAGGAAGCCTACCTGGGGTACGTGGTCGAGCAAGTCGAGCCCTCTAATGCCACCTGCAAATACATGAAAACGGACCTGCATGGCGACTGGCTCCAATACTTTCGCACTTCGCTCGCTATGGTTTTGGTGCAAAGGCATGGTTGGTGGTCAGCTGCTGAGACCTGTTCAGTTGGACAACTGTTCTCCCTGTTTAGCAGCCGAAGCTGCTTGGGCTTCTGCGGAAAGCGATCAAGGAACCTTGTCAAACCAAAGCTGAGACGTGGCCAAGTTAGCAAGCACAAGACCTTCGATGGGATTTGATTTGCCGGGTCACGGGCGACCCCCTCTGAAACTGAGAGGCAAGCGGGCACTTCCAACACGCAAAGCAAATCAAGGCAACAGCCGTCCCCGGCCAAAAAGAAGCTACGGCAGGAAAAGGTCATGGCCAACTGTCGTTTCCTGATGGCTTCAAGAAGACACTTTTTCCGGAAAACCAGTCCGCAGGCCTCAGGAAAATACCGCCTGACACCTTCTACAGTGCGGCCTTCAGGCCAAGCCACACAGGGACCTTCGCTGTTTCCGGGGTTAGGTTCGCCGCAGTTACGTGAGATTCGGCCAGGAGGTACAAGCCCCTTTTTGATTCATAGGTAAACCTTCGCTTAGTTTTCACCCTCTTTGAAGCCTTCAGTTTTGTTTTGCATGGGGTTCCCCCATTCTTCGCTTTCATCCACAACTCGTGCGTATTTGAAGCCGCGATCTAATTGAAAGGATGAACCTCCAAAGGCGAAGCAGTACAGCTTGGGACACCCTTAAAAAAACCTGGGGGTTTGTTTTGGCGTCCTAAAAGCCAAAAAACAGGTTCCCTGTAGGAAATGTGCCAGCAGCCCGTTTAAAAGGCCGTCTAAAAGTGTGCCACCGGTTGTGGTGTAAATAGCAATCCTGTGTAGCCTTCCCTAAACGAGGACCAGGGTTTAGCTATAACATGTTTTTTACCGACTATGTCTTCAAGGGCTGCTAAAACACATGGTCAAGGCCGTTTGGGTTCTGCACGGTGGATAGATGAAACCCTGCACCAGTTGGTGGCTTCTCACATTTCTCATATAGGGGGCTTCTTTCCGATTTTGCAATCAAGGTGATTCTGAAGGCAACGCTCAAAAGCGACAACGACCGCATCTGGGAAGCCCCTCAAACCAACCAAGACACGCCCAAATAGCACATTAGGCGATTCCTCGGGCCCCTCCTCGAAGCTTCTGAAGTTGTCATGCCAGTCGCTGGGCCAGGCGGGGCTCCTCGCGTGAGTCACGGCGAGTGACGCCAGCAAGTTGAGTGACTACCCATGAACCATCGCTTACTCGCCAAAGGACCTGGAAATAACAGGTAACCCAGTTGAGACCGTTACTAAAAATGGTTTCCAAACCCGGGAAACCGAAAGGTGAAAATGCTGATCCGCTTTAGGCAAGTGAAATGGGGCTTGCCTCCGGTAGGTTCTGGCTCTGATCAATAAGTTTACCTTGCAGGTTTTCAGTTTTTTTTCTCGGGGGCTCAAAACGCCCAAGGTGCAAAGATGTCTGCGTGTAGTCGCAGAACTAAGTTGCGTAGCAGCAAAGAAGCTGCCAACTCAACCCCAACAAGCTTGGCCCGGCTAAACATGAGAAGAGATGGCTTGCCATGCCTTGAACCTGCCATCTGTGAACTCGCCCTGCTCCTGCTGCTTACTGACCGTGTGGAGCGCGCTGTGGCAGCTGAGTCCTGCAACCCAGACAACCGAAGAGTGACAGCAAACAGCAACCCAAAATGGAACCAACATGAACCAACAAACACTCGGCTAGCCAACGCCAGCCGTATCCGTGCACGAGAATGCGCGCTTTGCAAGCAAACTTTGTAATGTGACATGTGCACGGTCCTCCACATATCCATCAGCTGAGCCGCCGCTTGCGTTGGGCCAGGGTGCGCCCCCGAAGCCATCTGCGGCAGGGCTTTCTGCCTCACATGCGCCCTCTTGTTAGCTTGCAACAAGCCTGTGCAAAACTGAATCAATCCTTTCCCCAAGAAACAGCAAGAAAGTGTTCCCAGCCAACACCCTCCCCAAAACCGATATTTCAGCAGAAAATGTTTTCACATGCTGTAAACGGTCTTGTGCGATCATGTCTGGGTCTGCTCGCAGCACCGAGCAGCCTATTCAGGGAGAACACACTGCCAATTCCGCCTAAACCAATTTGCCCCGGCTTAACCCCGGCCTGCTGTTGATTCGCGTTGCTCCTGCTGCTTTCCGCTGGAACGAACCGTGTGGAGCGCCCTGTGGCAGCTGAGTCCTGCAACCCAAACAACCGAAGAGTGACAGCAAACAGCAACCCAAAATGTAACCAACATGAACCAACAAACACCCGGCTAGCCAATGCCAGCCGTATCCGTGCACGAGAATGCGCGCTTTGCAAGCAAACGTTGCAATGGAAATGTGCACAGTCCTCCACATATCCATCAGCTGAGCCGCCGCTTGCGTTGGGCCAGGGTGCGTCCCCGAAGCCATCCGCGGCAGGGCTTTCTGCCTCACACGCACGCCAGCACCCGTCTCGTCTTGTTACAGCTTGCTTCCAAGCAAAATCAGAAGGAACGTCAAACAACAAACACAGCCGTTCATGAAATTGAAGCGATCCTTTCCCCAAGAAACAGCCAGGAAGTGCTCCAAGTAGCAGTTCTCAAACGACTTTTCAGGCAACACCATCTCGCAACGAAGATCGAAAGAAGGGTTGGTTCATTATGTTCACGCAACCATTTACGCCAGAAGTGCAAAGAAATAAAACAGCACATGTGACACACACACACACACAGCATTTTCAATTGCGTAGTCCTCAACACCCGTTGGCTGTTAGTTCTACCCAAATGGTTGTTGATTGGGTCTGGTCCCAGCATCGAGTCGCATATTCATAGAAACACACTGCAAATTCCACCCAAACCAATTTGCCCGCGGCCTGCTGTTGATTCGCGCTGCTCCTGCTGCTTTCCGCTGGAACGAACCGTGTGGAGCGCCCTGTGGCAGCTGAGTCCTGCAACCCAGACAACCGAAGAGTGACAGCAAACCGCAACCCAAAATCGAACCCAGATGAACATCACGAACCAACAACCACCCGGCTAGCCAACGCCAGCCGTATCTGTCCGCGAGAATGCGCGCTTTGCAAGCTAACGTTGCAATGTGAAATGTGCACAGTCCTCCACATATCCATCAGCTGAGCCGCCGCTTGCGTTGGGCCAGGGTGCGTCCCCGAAGCCATCCGCGGCAGGGCTTTCTGCCTCACACGCACGCCAGCACCCGTCTCGTCTTGTTACAGCTTGCTTCCAAGCAAAATCAGAAGGAACGTCAAACAACAAACACAGCCGTTCATGAAATTGAAGCGATCCTTTCCCCAAGAAACAGCCAGGAAGTGCTCCAAGTAGCAGTTCTCAAACGACTTTTCAGGCAACACCATCTCGCAACGAAGATCGAAAGAAGGGTTGGTTCATTATGTTCACGCAACCATTTACGCCAGAAGTGCAAAGAAATAAAACAGCACATGTGACACACACACACACACAGCAGTTTCAAATGCGTAGTCCTCAACACCCGTTGGCTGTTAGTTCTACCCAAATGGTTGTAGATTGGGTCTGGTCCCAGCATCGAGTCGCATATTCATAGAAACACACTGCAAATTCCACCCAAACCAATTTGCCCGCGGCCTGCTGTTGATTCGTGCTGCTCCTGCTGCTTTCCGCTGGAACGAACCGTGTGGAGCGCCCTGTGGCAGCTGAGTCCTGCAACCCAGACAACCGAAGAGTGATAGCAAGCAGCAACCCAAAATGGAACCCACATGAACATCATGAACCAACAACCACCCGGCTAGCCAACGCCAGCCGTATCTGTCCGCGAGAATGCGCGCTTTGCAAGCAAACGTTGCAAAGTGATAAGTGCACGGTCCTCCACATATCCATCAGCTGAGCCGCCGCTTGCGTTGGGCCAGGGCGCGCCCCCGAAGCCATCCGCGGCAGGGCTTTCTGCCTCACACGCACGCCACTTTCAGCTTGGTTCCAGGCAAAATCAGAAGGAATGTCAAACAACAAACCCAGCCGTTCATGCCTTCAATGTGTATGGCCATGTGCCAATCCGCACTTCTCAATCAGCTTCCCAGCCAAAACCACCTCAGACTTCGAAACCGACATTTCACCAGAACACATAATACCGCACGCTTCTAAGGGTCCGCGAAACTGAGCAGCGCCAACTCCACCCAAACATCTTGTCACGGCTTGTATGGCTGGACACAGCTTCTCATGATTTGCCCCTGCCTGCTGACTTGCCTTGCTCCTACCACTCTCCGCTGCCGGAACTGACCGTGTGGAGCGCCCTGCAGCTGAGTCCTGCAACCCAGACAATCGCAGAGCAGCAACCAGCAACCTAAAATGGAACCGAGATCAACCAACAAACACCTGGCTAGCCCTCACTTGCTGTTGGGCACAGTGCGGAGGTCCCATTCCACTTTCGGAGGGACCCAAACCTGGCCCAACGCCAAGCCGTGACTGTGCGTGACTGGACAAATGGGACCGCAACCCAGGCCGCTATGTCCAAGCGAAACGCCTGCTTTGCAGCACAGGGGGGACTCTTTTTGCCACCTTTTGTGAGAAAATTTGCGACCCCCTTAAAGAGGAATCCTTCACTACGAGCGGGTCGATCAATTTTCCACAAAAGGTGGCAAAAAGACCTGTGACATGCGCACGGTCCTCCACATATCCATCAGCTGAGCCGCCGCTTGCGTTGGGCCAGGGCGCGCCCCCGAAGCCATCTGCGGCAGGGCTTTCTGCCTCACACGCACGCCACTTACAGCTTGGTTCCAGGCAAAATCAGAAGGAATGTCAAACAACAAACCCAGCCGGTCATGCCTTCAATGTGTATGGCCATGTGCCAATCCGCACTTCTCAAACAGCTTCCCAGCCACAACCACTTCAGACTTCGAAACTGACATTTCACCAGAACACATAATACCGCACGCTTCTAAGGGCTCGCGCAACTGAGCAGCGCCAACTCCACCCAAACAGCTTGTCACGGCTTGTATGGCTGGACACAGCTTCTCATGATTTGCCCCTGCCTGCTGACTTGCCTTGCTCCTACTACTCTCCGCTGCCGGAACTGACCGTGTGGAGCGCCCTGCAGCTGAGTCCTGCAACCCAGACAATCGCAGAGCAACAGCAACCAGCAACCTAAAATGGAACCGAGATCAACCAACAACACCTGGCTAGCCCTCACTTGCTGTTGGGCACAGTGCGGAGGTCCCATTCCACTTTCGGAGGGACCCAAACCTGGCCCAACGCCAAGCCGTGACTGTGCGTGACTGGACAAATGGGACCGCAACCCAGGCCGCAATGTCCAAGCGAAACGCCTGCTTTGCAGCACAGGGGGGACTCTTTTTGCCACCTTTTGTGAGAAAATTTGCGACCCCCTTAAAGAGGAATCCTTCACTACGAGCGGGTCGATCAATTTTCCACAAAAGGTGGCAAAAAGACCTGTGACATGCGCACGGTCCTCCACATATCCATCAGCTGAGCCGCCGCTTGCGTTGGGCCAGGGCGCGCCCCCGAAGCCATCTGCGGCAGGGCTTTCTGCCTCACACGCACGCCACTTACAGCTTGGTTCCAGGCAAAATCAGAAGGAATGTCAAACAACAAACCCAGCCGGTCATGCCTTCAATGTGTATGGCCATGTGCCAATCCGCACTTCTCAAACAGCTTCCCAGCCACAACCACTTCAGACTTCGAAACTGACATTTCACCAGAACACATAATACCGCACGCTTCTAAGGGCTCGCGCAACTGAGCAGCGCCAACTCCACCCAAACAGCTTGTCACGGCTTGTATGGCTGGACACAGCTTCTCATGATTTGCCCCTGCCTGCTGACTTGCCTTGCTCCTACTACTCTCCGCTGCCGGAACTGACCGTGTGGAGCGCCCTGCAGCTGAGTCCTGCAACCCAGACAATCGCAGAGCAACAGCAACCAGCAACCTAAAATGGAACCGAGATCAACCAACAACACCTGGCTAGCCCTCACTTGCTGTTGGGCACAGTGCGGAGGTCCCATTCCACTTTCGGAGGGACCCAAACCTGGCCCAACGCCAAGCCGTGACTGTGCGTGACTGGACAAATGGGACCGCAACCCAGGCCGCAATGTCCAAGCGAAACGCCTGCTTTGCAGCACAGGGGGGACTCTTTTTGCCACCTTTTGTGAGAAAATTTGCGACCCCCTTAAAGAGGAATCCTTCACTACGAGCGGGTCGATCAATTTTCCACAAAAGGTGGCAAAAAGACCTGTGACATGCGCACGGTCCTCCACATATCCATCAGCTGAGCCGCCGCTTGCGTTGGGCCAGGGCGCGCCCCCGAAGCCATCTGCGGCAGGGCTTTCTGCCTCACACGCACGCCACGTACAGCTTGGTTCCAGGCAAAATCGGAAGGAATGTCAAACAACAAACCCAGCCGGTCATGCCTTCAATGTGTATGGCCATGTGCCAATCCGCACTTCTCAAACAGCTTCCCAGCCACAACCACTTCAGACTTCAAAACTGACATTTCACCAGAACACATAATACCGCACGCTTCTAAGGGCTCGCGCAACTGAGCAGCGCCAACTCCACCCAAACAGCTTGTCACGGCTTGTATGGCTGGACACAGCTTCTCATGATTTGCCCCTGCCTGCTGACCTGCCTTGCTCCTACTACTCTCCGCTGCCGGAACTGACCGTGTGGAGCGCCCTGCAGCTGAGTCCTGCAACCCAGACAATCGCAGAGTAACAGCAACCAGCAACCCAAAATGGAACCGAGATCAACCAACAAACACCTGGCTAGCCCTCACTTGCTGTTGGGCACAGTGCGGAGGTCCCATTCCACTTTCGGAGGGACCCAAACCTGGCCCAACGCCAAGCCGTGACTGTGCGTGACTGGACAGATGGGACCGCAACCCAGGCCGCAATGTCCAAGCGAAACGCCTGCTTGGCAGCAAAGGGGGTCTTTTTGCCACCTTTTGTGAGAAAATTCGCTAGCCCGTTAAAAAGGAATCCTTCACTACGAGGGGGTCGATCAATTTTCCACAAAAGGTGGCAAAAAGACCCCCTGTTGCAGCAACCATTGCAATGTAATGTGACATGCGCACGGTCCTCCACATATCCATCAGCTGAGCCGCCACTTGCGTTGGGCCAGGGCGCGCCCCCGAAGCCATCTGCGGCAGGGCTTTCCGCCTCACATGCGACCTCCCGTTGGCTTACGACATGCTTTGAATGTGTATGGCGGCGTGCCTTTCCAAATTGAAACAGCACTTTCCCCAAGGAACTGTTTCAAGTGGCAGTACTCAAACGGCTTCCCAGCCAACACCATCTCGAAACTAGAACATTTTCCGCATGCTTCAAACGGTCTTGTGCAAACGTCTGGGTCTGCTCCTAGCACCGAGTAGCATATTCAAAGAAAGCACAGTGCCAATTCCACCCAAAACAGCCCGTCACAGCTTCTCATGATCTGCCCCGGCCTGCTGTTGACTTGTCCTGCTCCTGCTGCTTTCCGCTGGAACTGACCGTGTGGAGCGCCCTGTGGCAGCTGAGTCCTGCAACCCAGACAACCGAAGAGTGACAGCAAACAGCAACCCAAAATGGAACCAACATGAACATCATGAACCAACCAACACCTGGCCAGCCAACGCCAGCCATGACTGCGCGCGAGAATGCGCGCTTTGCAGGCAAACGTGGCAATGTGATGCGCGCGCTGTCCTCCACATATCCATCAGCTGAGCCGCCGCTTGCGTTGGGCCAGGGCGCGCCCCCGAAGCCATCTGCGGCAGGGCTTTCTGCCTGCATGCACGCCAGCTTTCGTCTCATCGCGTTACATCTTGCTTCCAAGCAAAATGAGAAGGAATGTCATGCATTGAAGTTAGCTTGCAACATGCTTTCAATGTGTATGGCGGCGTGCGAGTACCAAATTGAAACAATGCCTTTTTCAAGAAACAGCGAGGAAGTGTTTCAAGTGGCAGTACTCAAACGTCTTTCCAGCCAACACCATCTCGAACGGAGATCGAAAGAAGGGTTGCTTCATTGTCTTGGCGCAACCATGTACGCCAGAAGCGCAAAGAAGTAAAAACACACATATGACACACACACACACAGAAGATTTCACATGAGTAGTGCTCAACACCCGTTGGCTGTTGGTTCTACCCAGCTGGTTGTAGATTGGGTCTGCTCCCAGCACTGAGTAGCATATTCATAGAAACACACTGCCAATTTCACCCAAACCATTTTGTCCCGGCGTAGCCCCTGCCTGCGGTTGACTCGTCCTGCTCCTGCTGCTTTCAGCTGGAACTGACCGTGTGGAGCGCCCTGTGGCAGCTGAGTCCTGCAACCCAGACAACCGAAGAGTGACAGCAAACAGCAACCCAAAATGAAACCAACATCAGCATCATGAACCAACAAACACCCGGCCAGCCGTATCCGTCCACGAGAATGCGCGCTTTGCAAGCAAACGTTGCAATGGAAATGTGCACGGTCCTCCACATATCCATCAGCTGAGCCGCTGCTTGCGTTGGGCCAGGGTGCGCCCCCGAAGCCATCTGCGGCAGGGCTTTCTGCCTCACACGCACGCCACTTACAGCTTGGTTCCAGGCAACATCAGAAGGAATGTCAAACAACAAACCCAGCCGTTCATGCCTTCAATGTGTATGGCCATGTGCCAATCCGCTCTTCTCAAACAGCTTCCCAGCCAAAACCACCTCAGACTTCGAAACTGACATTTCACCAGAACACATAATACCGCACGCTTCTAAAGGCTCGCGCAACTGAGCAGCGCCAACTCCACCCAAACAGCTTGTCACGGCTTGTATGGCTGGACACAGCTTCTCATGATTTGCCCCTGCCTGCTGACTTGCCTTGCTCCTACTACTCTCCGCTGCCGGAACTGACCGTGTGGAGCGCCCTGCAGCTGAGTCCTGCAACCCAAACAATCGCAGAGTAACAGCAACCAGAAACCCAAAATGGAACCAAAATGAATCAACAAACACCTGGCCAGCCCCCACTTGCTGTTGGGCACAGTGCGGAGGTCCCATTCCACCTTCGGAGGGACCCAAAACTGGCCCAACGCCAAGCCGTGACTGTGCGACTGGACAAATGGGACCGCAACCCAGGGCTCAATGTCCAAGCGAAACGCCTGCTTTGCAGCACAGGGGGGACTCTTTTTGCCACCTTTTGTGAGACAAGATGCGACCCCCTTAAAAAGGAATCCTTCGCTACGAGGGGGTCGATCAATTTTCCACAAAAGGTGGCAAAAAGACCCCCCTGTTTCAGCAAACATTGCAATGTGACATGCGCACGGTCCTCCACATATCCATCAGCTGAGCCGCCACTTGCGTTGGGCCAAGGCGCGCCCCCGAAGCCATCTGCGGCAGGGCTTTCCGCCTCACATGCGACCTCCCGTTGGCTTGAAGCAGGCCTGTGCAAAATTAACACAATCCATTCTCCAAGAAAAAGCGAGGAAGTAACACCGTCTCGGTTTCACATTTCACCAGAACACGTTTTCCGCATGCTTCAAACGGTCTTGTGCAAACGTCTGGGTCTGCTCCTAGCACCGAGTAGCATATTCAAAGAAAGCACAGTGCCAATTCCACCCAAAACAGCCCGTCACAGCTTCTCATGATCTGCCCCGGCCTGCTGTTGACTTGTCCTGCTCCTGCTGCTTTCCGCTGGAACTGACCGTGTGGAGCGCCCTGTGGCAGCTGAGTCCTGCAACCCAGACAACCGAAGAGTGACAGCAAACAGCAACCCAAAATGGAACCAACATGAACATCATGAACCAACCAACACCTGGCCAGCCAACGCCAGCCATGACTGCGCGCGAGAATGCGCGCTTTGCAGGCAAACGTGGCAATGTGATGCGCGCGCTGTCCTCCACATATCCATCAGCTGAGCCGCCGCTTGCGTTGGGCCAGGGCGCGCCCCCGAAGCCATCTGCGGCAGGGCTTTCTGCCTGCATGCACGCCAGCTTTCGTCTCATCGCGTTACATCTTGCTTCCAAGCAAAATGAGAAGGAATGTCATGCATTGAAGTTAGCTTGCAACATGCTTTCAATGTGTATGGCGGCGTGCGAGTACCAAATTGAAACAATGCCTTTTTCAAGAAACAGCGAGGAAGTATTTCAAGTGGCAGTACTCAAACGTCTTTCCAGCCAACACCATCTCGAACAGAGATCGAAAGAAGGGTTGCTTCATTATCTTGGCGCAACCATGTACGCCAGAAGCGCAAAGAAGTAAAAACACACATATGACACACACACACAGAAGATTTCACATGAGTAGTGCTCAACACCCGTTGGCTGTTGGTTCGACCCAGCTGGTTGTAGATTGGGTCTGCTCCCAGCACTGAGTAGCATATTCATAGAAACACACTGCCAATTTCACCCAAACCATTTTGTCCCAGCGTAGCCCCTGCCTGCGGTTGACTCGTCCTGCTCCTGCTGCTTTCAGCTGGAACTGACCGTGTGGAGCGCCCTGTGGCAGCTGAGTCCTGCAACCCAGACAACCGAAGAGTGACAGCAAACAGCAACCCAAAATGAAACCAACATGAGCATCATGAACCAACAAACACCCGGCCAGCCGTATCTGTCCGCGAGAATGCGCGCTTTGCAAGCAAACGTTGCAATGTGAAATGTGCACGGTCCTCCACATATCCATCAGCTGAGCCGCCGCTTGCGTTGGGCCCGGGTGCGCCCCCGAAGCCATCTGCGGCAGGGCTTTCTGCCTCACACGCACGCCACTTACAGCTTGGTTCCAGGCAACATCAGAAGGAATGTCAAACAACAAACCCAGCCGTTCATGCCTTCAATATGTATGGCCATGTGCCAATCCGCACTTCTCAAACAGCTTCCCAGCCAAAGCTACCTCAGACTTCGAAACTGACATTTCACCAGAACACATTATACAGCACGCTTCTAAAGGCTCGCGCAACTGAGCAGCGCCAACTCCACCCAAACACCTTGTCACGGCTCATATGGCTGGACACAGCTTCTCATGATTTGCCCCTGCCTTCTGACTTGCCGTGCTCCTACTACTCTCCGCTGCCGGAACTGACCGTGTGGAGCGCCCTGTGGCAGCTGAGTCCTGCAACCCAGACAATCGCAGAGTAACAGCAACCAGAAACCCAAAATGGAACCCAAAATGAACCAACAAACACCTGACTTGCTGTTGGGCACAGTGCGGAGGTCCCATTCCACTTTCGGAGGGACCCAAACCTGGCCCAACGCCAAGCCGTGACTGTGCGTGACTGGACAAATGGGACCGCAACCCAGACCGCAATGTCCAAGCGAAACGCCTGCTTTGCAGCACAGGGGGGGTCTTTTTGCCACCTTTTGTGAGAAAAGATGCGACCCCCTTAAAAAGGAATCCTTCACTACGAGGGGGTCGATCAATTTTCCACAAAAGGTGGCAAAAAGACCCCCCTGTTGCAGCAACCATTGCAACGTGACATGCGCACGGTCCTCCACATATCCATCAGCTGAGCCGCCACTTGCGTTGGGCCAGGGTGCGCCCCCGAAGCCATCTGCGGCAGGGCTTTCTGCCTCACACGCACGCCACTTACAGCTTGGTTCCAGGCAAAATCAGAAGGAATGTCAAACAACAAACCCAGCCGGTCATGCCTTCAATGCGTATGGCCATGTGCCAATCCGCACTACTCAAACAGCTGCCCAGCCAAAACCTCATACATACCGCACGCTTCTAAAGGCTCACGCAACCGAGTACATGGCATATCACGGCGTGACACAGCTTCTCATGATTTGCCCCTGCCTGCTGTTGACTCGCCTTGCTCCTACTGCTCGCCGCTGCCGGAACTGACCGTGTGGAGCGCCCTGTGGCAGCTGAGTCCTGCAAGCCAGACAACCGAAGAGTGACAGCAACCAGCAACCCAAAATGGAACCAAGATGAACCAACAAACACCTGGCTAGCTAGCCAAGGCCAGGCGTGACTGTGCGCGAGAATGCGGGCTTTGCAAGCAAACGTTGCAATGTGACATGTGCACGGTCCTCCACATATCCATCAGCTGAGCCGCCACTTGCGTTGGGCCAGGGTGCGCCCCCGAAGCCATCTGCGGCAGGGCTTTCTGCCTCACACGCACGCCACTTACAGCTTGGTTCCAGGCAAAATCAGAAGGAATGTCAAACAACAAACCCAGCCGGTCATGCCTTCAATGCGTATGGCCATGTGCCAATCCGCACTACTCAAACAGCTGCCCAGCCAAAACTTCATACATACCGCACGCTTCTAAAGGCTCACGCAACCGAGTACATGGCATATCACGGCGTGACACAGCTTCTCATGATTTGCCCCTGCCTGCTGTTGACTCGCCTTGCTCCTACTGCTCGCCGCTGCCGGAACTGACCATGTGGAGCGCCCTGTGGCAGCTGAGTCCTGCAACCCAGGCAGTCGCAGAGTGACAGCAAGCAGCAACCCAAAATGGAACCAACATGAACCAACCAACACCTGACTAGCCAACGCCAGTTGCCGCAGGCTCCATGATAACATGTTCAACCATGGTACGGGCGCTTCAATCCCTTTCAATCACATGCGCACATGCAAGCACTCCTCCTCATATACGTCAGCTGCGTCGTCGCTTGCATTGGGCCATGCTGCATCCCCGAAGCCATCTGCAGCATAGCTTTCGGCCTCACGGGAACGCCAATAACAGTTGGAGAGCCACATGCATGACAAGAACTGACCTGCTGAGTTTACGGGAAGTAAACGTGTAAACTTTCTTCGCTTTCACCTGCAACAAAAAAGTCTCTACATTGCCAAACCGACAGGTACACAGAAAATCGATTGAACATGTTCATCAAAAGTTCCGCCCATCAAGGCTCACTCACGCAAACAATGTGGGTTCATGGCAACCGGGCCTAATCAGTTCATAGCCAAGAGCGCGCACGCAGCTCAGATACCAAAAGCACAGTTCTTCTGGGCGGCTTTGCAAAAACTCAACAAGCTGCAAGCAGTACCAAGCAACTGCAAAGAAGCTGAACATCAATAACTTGACCCGAGCAGGCTCGCCACAACTTGCCCCGTGAGATAGCTTGCCAGGGTTTGCCCTGCCTGCTCTGGACTCGCTCTGCTCCTGCTACTTTCTGCTGGAACTGACCGGGTGGAGCGTCCCGTGGCAGCTGCATCCTGCAACTCAATTAAGAGGGTAAGGATGCAAAGTGCAACCTGGCTGGCACCCGCGTCACAATGGGAAAGTTGGCAGAACTTGCCAAATTGAAACAAACTCAGTCGGACAGAAATGAACAGTTGCCGCAGGCTCCATAATAACATGTTCAACCATGGTACGGGAGCTTCAATCCCTTTCAATCACATGCACACATGCAAGCACTCCTCCTCATATACGTCAGCTGCGTCGTCGCTTGCATTGGGCCATGCTGCCTCCCCGAAGCCATCTGCGGCATAGCTTTCGGCCTCACGGGAACGCCGATGACAGTTGGAGAGCCACATGCATGACAAGAACTGACTTGCTGAGTTTACGGGAAGTAAATGTGTAAACTTTCTTTGCTTTCACCTGCAACAAAGAAGTCTCTACATTGTCAAACTGACAGGTATACACAAAATCAAGGCTCACTCACGCAAACAATGTGGGTTCACGGCAACCGGGCCTAATCAGTTCATAGTCAAGAGCGCGCACGCAGCTCAGATACAAAAAGCACAGTTCTTCTGGGCTGCTTTGCATATACCCAACAAGCTGCAAGCAGTACCAAGCAACTGCAAAGAAGCTGAACATCAATAACTTCACCCGAGCAGGCTTGCCACAACTTGCCCCGTGAGATAGCTTGCCAGGGTTTGCCCTGCCTGCTCTGGACTCGCTCTGCTCCTGCTCCTTTCTGCTGGAACTGACCGGGTGGAGCGTCCCGTGGCAGCTGCATCCTGCAACTCAACTAAGCGGGTAAGGATGCAAAGTGAAACCTGGCTGGCACCCGCGTCACAATGGGAAAGTTGGCAGAACTTGCCAAATTGAAACAAACTCAGTCGGACAGAAATGAACAGTTGCCGCAGGCTCCATAATAACATCTTCAACCATGGTACGGGCGCTTCAATGCCTTTCAATCACATGCACACATGCAAGCACTCCTCCTCATATACGTCAGCTGCGTCGTCGCTTTCGTTGGGCCACGCAGCGTCCCCGAAGCCATCTGCGGCATAGCTTTCGGCCTCCCAGGGACGCCCATAACAGTTGGAGAGAGCCAAATGCATGACAAGAGCTGACCTGCTGAGTTTACTGCTAGTAAATGCGTAAACATTCTTCCCTTCACCTGCCAGAAAAATAGAGGACGATTGGCCCGAAAGCATTTTTCCACAGGTGCTCATCCAGCCGCGGAGACACCTTTTTACATCGCTGCGGCGAGCGTGTCTGCGCGCGGCGATGCTCCGTGTGTATGGTCACATGAGAGCTCCTCCATCTCATCATCCTACTTTCCTCTCGAACTGCGCCGCGCGATTTCTCACGAAAGTGGTTTGCGCAAGCTGCATTGTTCCAGGCTGCTGCGCGCAAGTTGCTCTCTGCAAGCTGCTGCGCGCAAGTGCTCTGTGCCAGTTGCTCTGCGCAAGTGCTCTGAGCAAGTTGCTCCGCGCAAGTGCTCTGCGCCAGTTGCTCCGCGCAAGCGCTTTGCGCATGTGCTCTGCGCAAGTTGGTCTGTGCAAGTTGCTCTGCGCCTGCTCTGTGCAAGTTGCTCTGCGCAAGCGCTCTGAGCAAGTTGCTCTGCGCAAGGGCTCTGCGCCAGTTGCTCCGTGCAAGCGCTTTGCGCATGTGCTCTGTGCAAGTTGGTCTGTGCAAGTTGCTCTGCGCAAGTGCTTTGTGCAATTGCTCTGTGCAAGTTGCTCTGCGCAAGTTGCTCTGCGCAAGTGACTCTGCGCAAGTTGCTCTGCGCAAGTGCTGCCGGAGCTGCGGGGGTGTGCTCCGCGTACTACGTTTGCACTTAAAAGTTGCGATTCTCCAGCCGGAGCTGCGGGGGTGTGCTCCGCGTACTACGTTTGTACTTAAAAGTTGCGATTTTCCAGCCTGAGCTGCGGGAGCTGCCACACGCTCCGCGTACTACGTTTGTACTTAAAAGTTGCGATTTTCAAGCCGGAGCTGCGGGGGTGTGCTCCGCGTACTACGTTTGTACTTAAAAATTGCGATTTTCCAGCCTGAGCTGCGGGAGCACGCTCCGCACACTACGTCTGTACTTAAAAGTTACGATTTTCCAGCCGGAGCTAGCTTAAAGTTCTTAAAGCCTGCAGGAGCACGCTCCGCGTACTACGTTTGTACTTAAAAGCTGCGATTTTCAAGCCGGAGCTGCCGCGGACCAGGGGGGAATCGAACCCGCGACCGCGGGATTGCGAAAGCAGGCGCGCAAACCACGAGACAACTTCCAAAGGCCGTTTCGCGAGCAAGAATATTGCACGGCGCCACAGCGAGAGCGCTTCGACACGCACAGTCTCCGCAGAGGGTTCGCCGAGACTAAGACAAATTCGCACAGCGCCACAGCAAGAGCGCTTCGACGCGCACAATCTCCGCAGAGGGTCGCGCGCGCATGCTAAAAATCGTAAAAAGTCCTGTTTTTGAACCTCGACCACGCGAATCTCTGCAGAGGGTCGCGCGCGCATGCTAAAAATTGTAAAAAGTCCTCAGTTTTTGAACCTCGACCACGCGAATCTCCGCACAGGGTCGCGCGCGCATGCTAAAAATCGTAAAAAGTCGTCAGTTTTTGAACCTCGACCACGCGAATCTCCGCACAGGGTCGCGCGCGCATGCTAAAAATCGTAAAAAGTCCTCAGTTTTTGAACCTCGACCACGCGAATCTCCGCACAGGGTCGCGCGCGCATGCTAAAAATCGTAAAAAGTCCCCAGTTTTTGAACCTCGACCACGCGAATCTCCGCAGAGGGTCGCAATCCCGAGCGACGATCAAACTCCCGCCCCGGCGCCTTAGAAACCTAAACTAACTTACATAGCTGCTAACGCCGAAGCTCTAAGCTCTACCTAACCTTGGCTCTATGTAACTTGGCTCTATGTAACTTGGCTCTATGTAACTTGGCTCTATGTAACTTGGCTCTATGTAACTTGGCTCTATGTAACTTGGCTCTATGTAACTTGGCTCTATGTAACTTGGCTCTATGTAACTTGGCTCTATGTAACTTGGCTCTATGTAACTTGGCTCTATGTAACTTGGCTCTATGTAACTTGGCTCTATGTAACTTGGCTCTATGTAACTTGGCTCTATGTAACTTGGCTCTATGTAACTTGGCTCTATGTAACTTGGCTCTATGTAACTTGGCTCTATGTAACTTGGCTCTATGTAACTTGGCTCTATGTAACTTGGCTCTATGTAACTTGGCTCTATGTAACTTGGCTCTATGTAACTTGGCTCTATGTAACTTGGCTCTATGTAACTTGGCTCTATGTAACTTGGCTCTATGTAACTTGGCTCTATGTAACTTGGCTCTATGTAACTTGGCTCTATGTAACTTGGCTCTATGTAACTTGGCTCTATGTAACTTGGCTCTATGTAACTTGGCTCTATGTAACTTGGCTCTATGTAACTTGGCTCTATGTAACTTGGCTCTATGTAACTTGGCTCTATGTAACTTGGCTCCAAGGGGCTCCGCACGGAAGAACCCTTCGCGATGCTTTGGGGAAAAAACCAAAAAAACAAAAAAAAACGTCTCTACATTGCCTAGCTGTCAGGGAATACACAACCTATTCAACAACAAATGGCAAGTAACAACAGCAATTGCTGTTCTTCAAACAAGTTTCGCCCATCAAGGCACACTCACGCAAACAATGCTGGTTCACAGGCTACAAGGGCCGAACTTTACTTATACTCAAGAACCTGCAAGCGACCCGAGACTTGTCCCGTGAGATAGCTTGCTATCGTTTGCCCTGCCTGCTCTGGACTCGCTCTGCTCCTACTACTTTCTGCTGGAACTGACCGAGTGGAGCGTCCCATGGCGGCTGCATCCTGCATCCCAACCAAGTAAGAAACTGCGGGTAACGTTGGAAAGCGCAACATTAAAACGCGCCCGCGTCACAGTGGCACATTCGGCAAAGCTTACCAAGTTGATACAAACTCAGTCGGGCAGAAATGAACATTTGCCGCGAGCTCCGTGCTAACATGTTCAACGATGGTACGGGCGCTTCAATTCCCTTCAATCACATATGCACATGCAAGCACTCCTCCTCATATACGTCAGCTGCGTCGGCGCTTGCATTGGGCCATGCTGCCTCCCCGAAGCCATCTGCGGCATAGCTCTCGGCCTCACGGGAACGCCGATGACAGTTGGAGAGCCACATGCATGACAAGAACTGACTTGCTGAGTTTACGGGAAGTAAACGTGTAAACTTTCTTCGCTTTCACCTGCAACAAAGAAGTCTCTACATTGTCAAACTGACAGGTATACACAAAATCAAGGCTCACTCACGCAAACAATGTGGGTTCACGGCAACCGGGCCTAATCAGTTCATAGTCAAGAGCGCGCACGCAGCTCAGATACCAAAAGCACAGTTCTTCTGGGCGGCTTTGCATATACTCAACAAGCTGCAAGCAGTACCAAGCAACTGCAAAGAAGCTGAACATCAATAACTTCACCCGAGCAGGCTTGCCACAACTTGTCCTGGGAGATAGCTTGCTATGGTTTGCCCTGCCTGCTCTGGACTCGCTCTGCTCCTGCTACTTTCTGCTGGAACTGACCGCGTGGAACGTCCCGTGGCGGCTGCATCCTGCAACTCAATTAAGCGGGTAAGGATGCAAAGTGCAATCTGGCCGGCACCCGCGTCACAATGGGACAGCTGGCAGAACTTACCAAGTTGATACAAACTCAGTCGGGCAGAAATGAACATTGGCCAGCTCCATGCTAACACGTTCAACCATGGTACGGGCGCTTCAATCCCTTTTAATCACATACGAACATGCAAGCACTCCTCCATGTATACGTCAGCTGCGTCGTCGCTCTCGTTGGGCCACGCAGCGTCCCCGAAGCCATCTGCGGCATAGCTTTCGGCCTCCCAGGGACGCCTAGAACAGTTGGAGAGAGCCACATGCATGACAAGAGCTGACCTGCTGAGTTTACTGCTAGTAAATGCGTAAACATTCTTCGCTTCACCTGCCAGAAAAAATACAAAACAAAAAACAAAACAAAACAACGTCTCTAATTACATTGCCTAGCTGTCAGGGAATACACAACCTATTCAACAACAAATGGCAAGTAACAACAGCAATTGCTGTTCTTCAAACAAGTTTCGCCCATCAAGGCTCACTCACGCAAACAATGCCGGTTCACAGGCTACAAGGGCCGAACTTTACTTATACTCAAGAACCTGCAAGCGACCCGAGACTTGTCCCGTGAGATAGCTTGCTATCGTTTGCCCTGCCTGCTCTGGACTCGCTCTGCTCCTACTACTTTCTGCTGGAACTGACCGAGTGGAGCGTCCCATGGCGGCTGCATCCTGCATCCCAACCAAGTAAGAAACTGCGGGTAACGTTGGAAAGCGCAACATGAAACGCGCCCGCGTCACAGTGGCACATTCGGCAAAGCTTACCAAGTTGATACAAACTCAGTCGGGCAGAAATGAACATTTGCCGCGAGCTCCGTGCTAACATGTCCAACGATGGTACGGGCGTTTCAATTCCCTTCAATCACATACGCACATGCAAGCACTCCTCCTCATATACGTCAGCTGCGTCGTCGCTTGCATTGGGCCATGCTGCCTCCCCGAAGCCATCTGCGGCATAGCTTTCGGCCTCACGGGAACACCAATAACAGTTGGAGAGCCACATGCATGACAAGAACTGACCTGCTGAGTTTACGGGAAGTAAATGTGTAAACTTTCTTTGCTTTCACCTGCAACAAAGAAGTCTCTACATTGTCAAACTGACAGGTATACACAAAATCAAGGCTCACTCACGCAAACAATGTGGGTTCTTGGCAACCGGGCCTAATCAGTTCATAGTCAAGAGCGCGCACGCAGCTCAGATACCAAAAGCACAGTTCTTCTGGGCGGCTTTGCATATACTCAACAAGCTGCAAGCAGTACCAACCAACTGCAAAGAAGCTGAACATCAATAACTTGACCCGAGCAGGCTCGCCACAACTTGCCCCGTGAGATAGCTTGCCAGGGATTGCCCTGCCTGCTCTGGACTCGCTCTGCTCCTGCTACTTTCTGCTGGAACTGACCGAGTGGAACGTCCCGTGGCGGCTGCATCCTGCATCCCAACCAAGTAAGAAACTGCGGGTAACGTTGGAAAGCGCAACATGAAACGCGCCCGCGTCACAGTGGCACATTCGGCAAAGCTTACCAAGTTGATACAAACTCAGTCGGGCAGAAATGAACATTTGCCGCGAGCTCCGTGCTAACATGTCCAACGATGGTACGGGCGCTTCAATCCCTTTCAATCACATACGAACATGCAAGCACTCCTCCATGTATACGTCAGCTGCGTCGTCGCTCTCGTTGGGCCACGCAGCGTCCCCGAAGCCATCTGCGGCATAGCTTTCGGCCTCCCAGGGACGCCTACAACAGTTGGAGAGAGCCAAATGCATGACAAGAGCTGACCTGCTGAGTTTACTGCTAGTGAATGCGTAAACATTCTTCGCTTCACCTGCCAGAAAAAATACAAAACAAAAAACAAAACAAAACAACGTCTCTAGATTGCCTAGCTGTCAGGGAATACACAACTTATTCAACCACAAATGGCAAGTAACAACAGCAATTGCTGTTCTTCAAACAAGTTTCGCCCATCAAGGCTCACTCACGCAAACAATGCTGGTTCACAGGCTACAAGGGCCGAACTTTACTTATACTCAAGAACCTGCAAGCGACCCGAGCAGGATCGCCACAGCTTGCCATGACTTGTCCCGTGAGATAGCTTGCTATCGTTTGCCCTGCCTGCTCTGGACTCGCTCTGCTCCTACTACTTTCTGCTGGAACTGACCGAGTGGAGCGTCCCATGGCGGCTGCATCCTGCATCCCAACCAGCTAAGAAACTGCGGGTAACGTTGGAAAGCGCAACATGAAACGCGCCCGCGTCACAGTGGCACATTCGGCAAAGCTTACCAAGTTGATACAAACTCAGTCGGGCAGAAATGAACATTTGCCGCGAGCTCCGTGATAACATGTTCAACGATGGTACGGGCGTTTCAATTCCCTTCAATCACACACGAACATGCAAGCACTCCTCCTCATATACGTCAGCTGCGTCGCTTGCATTGGGCCATGCTGCATCCCCGAAGCCATCTGTGGCATAGCTTTCGGCCTCACGGGAACTCCAATAACAGTTGGAGACCCAAATGCATGACAAGAGCCGACCTGCTGAGTTTGTGGGAAGGAAATGCGTAAACATTCTTCGCATTCACCTGCCAGAATAACGTCTCTAGATTGCCTAGCTGACAAGGAACACACAACCTATTCAACAACAAATGGCAAGTAACAACAGCAATTGCTGTGTTTCACAGAAGAGCCGCCAATCAAGGCTTGTTCACGCACACAATGCAGGTTCACGGGCTATAAGAGCTGAATCAGTTCATTGCATTTCATTGCCAAAAGCACGCGCGCGGCTCAAATACGAATCTACTCATAGAAGTTCGCCCCGCCCCAGCATACTTGTGGGCAGCTTGGCTTATGCTCAACAACCTGGAAGCAGTACCAAGAAATTACAGTAAAAAAGAAATGAACAGCAACAACTTGACTCGAGCACGCTGGCCACAACTAAACTTGCCCTGACTCGTTCTGCAAGATATAGCTTGCAATGGTTTTCCCTGCCTGCTGTGGACTCGCTCTGCTCCTGCTACTTTCTGCTGGAACTGATCGAGTGGAGCGTGCCGTGGCAGCTGCTTCCTGCATTCCAATGAAGTAAGAGACTGCGGGTAATGGAAATCACAGCATGAAACTCACCCGCGTCACAGTGTGATGGCAGAACTTTCTGAAACAAGCTCAGTTGGGCAGAAATGAACATTTGCTGCGAGCTCGATTGAAACCTTTTCAATCACATGCCTACATGCAAGCACTCTTCCTCATATACTTCAGCTGCGTCGTCACTTGCGTTGGGCCACGCTGCATCCCCGAAGCCATCTGCGGCATAGGCCTCGACCTCACAGGGACGACGTGAACAGTTGAAGAGCCCAATACATGACAAGAGCTGACCTGCTGAGTTTACGGGTAATAAATGCGTAAGCTTTCTTGGCCTTCACAGTAACAACAGCAATTGCTGATTGCATCAGAAGTTTCGCCATTCAAGGCTCGCTATTGCAAACCACGTTGGCTCGCCGGCCACAAAAACAAGCACACCTACACACATACACACACAGCACAATTCTACTCAATACAAGTTCGCCCCGCCCGGGCATACTTCTGGGCAACCCGTTTTGATACTTAACACCTGCAAGCAGTACCAAGCAACTGCAAAGAAATGAACATCAATCACTTAACCCGAGCACACTCGCCACAACTTGCCATGACTTGCCATGACTTGCTCTGCCAAACAGCTGGCTACGGTTTGCCCTGCCTGCTCTGGACTCGGTCTGCTCCTGCTACTTTCTGCTGGAACTGACCGAGTGGAGCGTCCCGTCTCAACTGCATCCTGCAACTCAAGCAAGTGGGCAAGGACGCAAAGTGCAACCTGACTGGAACCCGCGTCACAAAGGGAAAGCTGACAGAACTATCAAGTTCGCGGACAACGGTGAGGGCGTTTCTATCCCTTCCAATCACGTGCCTACATGAAAGCACGCCTCCTCATATACGTCAGCTGCGTCGTCGCTTGCGTTGGGCCACGCTGCGTCCCCGAAGCCGTTTGCGGCAAAGCTTTTGGCCTCACAGGGACGCCTACAGCAGTTGAAGAGCCAAATGCATGACAAGAACTGACCTGCTGAGTTTACCGGCAGTAAGTGCGTTAACTTTCTTGGCCTTCACCTGCCACAGAAACTCTCCACATTGCCAAGCCGACAGGGAATGCACACAACCTATTCGACAACAAGCAGCAGCAGCACAAATGCTGGGTTTCATTTTCATCAGAAGTTCTGCCCATCACAGAACACTCACTCCATAGTTGCCGTTCCATGCCGTTCCCAGCTTCTCACTCATAGCACAGCTGCACACAGCTAGGGTAAGCAAATCTTGGCTGTACTCAATACAAGTCCCCCGAGCCCAGAAGCACTCAACAACTTGCAAGCAGAAACGAGCAACTGCAAACAGGAAGTGACCATCAATCACTTGACTTGAGCAGGCTCGCCGCAACTTGCCATGACTTGTGCTGAAGCTTGCCATTGTTTGTCTGCAGTGGACTCGCTCTGCTCCTGCTGCTTGGAACACTGTTCGAGTGGAGCGTCCCGCGCCAGCTGCTTTCTGCAACTTAACTAAGTGGCTAAGGACGCAAAGGGAAACTGGCACCCGGCGAAACTGCAGAACTTGCCAATCAAGTAAGAAGTTGGAAGCAAAGCGGAACGTGCCTGGAACGCGGGTCACAATGGGACACTTAGCAAAGTCAAGCCAATTTCAAACGCGCAGGTCCATGCTGACATATTCAACGCTGAGGCCCTCTCAATCCCTTGCAAGGTGATGCGCGCATGCAAGCAGTCCTCGTATCCCTCAGCTGCGACGTCGCTTGCAATGGGCCACGCTTCGTCCCCAAAGCCATCTGCGCAGCTTTCGGCCTCACGGGAACGCCAACAACAGTTGGAAAAAACAACAGGTGACATGACAACAACGGGACTGCTGAGTGTACTGGCCACTACGCTGGCCACTAAAGAGCATAAGCTTTCTTGGCCTTGGCTAACATGATGACAACACTCGCCACAAGAGTCTCACAGGTAAAGCAACAAGCAATGTGAATGTTAAATGCATATCTTTTGTCAGGAGCTCTGCCAATCAAGGCTCACTGATGCAACAGTGCTGTTATTCACAGCGCTACTGCCACTGCCGATTACAGAACGACAGTAATTACCTGGGCAAGGACACGGACACGAATAGCCCAGGTAAGAAAGGACAATGGGACTCACAAGTTCCCCAGGTTCCCCCAAAACACTTCTGCTCAACTTTACTTTCTTTCACGCAAACAAGTGGCACGCAGCACCGCCGGTGAGATGGCTTGCCATGCTTTGCTCCCTGCCTGCTGACTCGCTCCGCTCCCGCTGCATGCTGGAACTGAGCGAATGGAGCACCCCGTCGCAGCTGCTTCCTGGAACCCACGCAGTTGAGCAACAGCTGGCAACGACTGAAAACAACAACCCACGAAGCGCATCATCGACTAAGTTGCACAGAAATGAGCATTCCCTGCTAGCTCCATGCTGACATATTCCGTGCTGAGGTTCTCTCAATCCCTTGCAAGGTCATGGGCACATGCAAGCAGTCCTTATATTCCTCAGCTGAATCGTCGCTTGCATTGGCCCACGCTTCGTCCCCAAAGCCATCCGCGGCATAGCTTTCGGCCTCACAGCAACGCCAGCAACAGTTGGAAAAACAGCAGGCGACACGACAACAACGTGCTTAGTGTACTGGCCAGGAAAGTTTCAACTTTGGCCTGGACTGAAGCGAAAGCAAGCTTTTCCATCCTAAACAAATCACCAACCATGAAAAGGAACATCGTTTGAATTGCAATTCCAAAGGTGATGCTAGCACTATGAAGGGACATGTTTTTCGGCTGGAGCATGCAGTAACATCTTTGCACATCATGAATGGTATCATCCATTTGCTAAAATGTGGACATATATCTACTAGTGATAGATTCCCTTGAAAACCAACAGGGGAGAATCCAACCATATTCTGAAACACATTTGGAAGTGAAAGGTATCAGTCACAAACGAAACACTCAGGAACCCGGAAAAAAAAAAAAAAGCCACCTGGGGTGCCAAAGGGTCTCCAACAGTGCCTTCGCAAAGTGGGAGCTGCAGGATATTGTTGCCAGGCTGCGAATCCTAAGTGATTCTTTGTTGGACATCACTTACATTGGGAACAAGGAGGTGGCACCACCTCCAGCAAGGTCCTTTGAATCATGCCCGCTGCAAAGGAACACTTTCTCTCTAGCTCTCCACTTAATGGTCTCACTTCCCAGACCCCCAGTGGTTGGTATTCGACTTAAAGTCATGGGGGCTGGGGGTGAGGGACGGGAGGGGGAGGGAGCCCAAATAAGCCCTTATTAAGCCCTTAATAACTCGGTTGCTTTCTGCTCCCCTGCTAAAAGTGTAACTTTTAGTGGTTTAGTGGAAAACCCATTAGTTGGCAAAAAGTTAAAGTCCTAACAGCCAAGCAAAATGCACCAAAGATAAGGCCTTGTTTAGGGCTTATTTGGGCTCCCTCCCCCTCCCCTCCCTCCCCCCCAGCCCCCATGATAAAGGCACACACCTCAACCACTGGAGCTCCGATTTGTCGCCTCCGACTTGTCGCATGCCACAGCGGCTCGCGCCTCGAAGCCTTGCTCCTTGCCGCTGGGCTCGGCGTACCGCACCTCAAGGTCGAGCCAAAGACCTGCCTCCGTGGTTTGGCTTTTGCTTTCCCTTGCTGAACCACAAAACCTCCATTTGCCGAAGTCCCTGGGAACAAACGAGAACATATTTCCAGGGATAGGTTTTGTGTTTCAGACCCACATTGGTCCTGCGAGATGGCGTCACGCAGCTGCGATAAGGATCACCCCTTGGGGCAGGCCCAGAAATCATCTGGGCTGTTCAAAATAAAATGGAGGGTGTCCCAAACTGTTTTTCCACAATCCCCATAGGAAAGCCACTGCAAAGGAGACCAAATCATTGCCTTCGAACAGCCCAGATTAAGCGGGCCTGGAAACAACACAAGCAAGCACCTCACTGGCCTTTTTGGGGCTGGGCTGAAAAAAGCAAAGACAATTTCATTTGAACCAGAGAGGTAATACCAAATCAATCAACAGCTGCCGCTCGAAACAAGTCCAAGAAGGTCATGCTCAAGCCACCAACGCGCACATAGAAAGCTCCCCCAAAAGGTGATGCTTGCTGTTTCCACCACTCAAAGAGGTGGACATACTGTGGATGGACGAGATCCATTTCGCACCACCTAAGACACCATGGAATGATGATTCCCCTGCAAATACCAACAAACAGCGGCTTCACCATGATTTCAAAGTGGTGCAGGATTTCGTTTATCCACAGTAGAAGGATTCCTGCCGATTGAAGGTCTGTCGACGACTGGCAGCGGCCTCCTCTGTCGGGCTGGGCAGGTAGTTGGTGTAGTCGGCGTCGCGCGCGCAGGCGGCACAATCCACCTGTGGTTCGGCCAGTTTGCCCTTCACCCAGTTCCCGTTTAGAGGGTGTCCCTGCTATGACTTGGCCTGGCATGGAGCAACCGAAGCTCCCCGAAACCAAACAGATGCGAGACCCCTCAGGAAACCAGCAACGGGCGTAGCAACCTGTCTTCAAGGCTTTTGAGGAACCCCGGATAAACGTCAGAACTTGGGGCATGGCCTCAGTTCCAGCGAAATGGCCTGAAAAGAAAGGGCCAACAATCTTTCCATTGAAAGCGCCGCGAGGATTTGCTCAAAGGCCCAAAAAGCTCAAGGAATGAAGTCCACGGGCCTCAAGGAGGGTCTTTGGCACACGAGAGAAACATCCTAACCCAATTCGAGGCAACCTGACCATGAAAACGGCTCACTCACGTTAAACTGCCAGCGTGATGCTTACTGTTTCAACCAAACAAGCAGGGACACAGAAGGATACCTGTGGGTGGTTGATCGACAACCGCCAAGCTGCCTCCTCTGTGGGGCTGGGCAGGTAGTTGGCGTAGTCGGCGTCGCGTGCGCAGGCGGCACAATCCACCTGTGGATCGGCTTTGTGTTTGGCTCATGTTCCGTTCTGAAGTCTTCTGTCCCTGCGTGCTGATGGGGGTCTGGGAGAATTACCAACCCCCCTTTACGCAGTTTGCTGCAAGTTGGACCTCGCAACCTACCATTGTGAATGGGCTAGTAAACCAACATCAAGTGTGTGTGTGTGTGTGTGTCTCTCTCTCTCTGTGTGTGTCTCTCTCTCTCCCTGTGTGTATGTTTGAGGTTGTGTTTCTGAGGATGCGCCCTTTTCACGTTGGATGAAATAGGAAAGCAAAAGGACTGCCGAACTCCATTCTTCCACTGTCTTTGGCCCCCTGGGGAAAATAACAAATATTTCCAGTAGTGATCGATTCCTTTAGCTCGGACATCGCTCTGAATGGATGCGCACAGCAGCAGCGGTGCGGCACCCATGTCCTTTGTCCGCAGGCTCAGAGGGGCCGAGCAAGGTCTGATGCCTTACGGATTCCTCTTTCGCCTGAAAAGCGGCGAACCATCGAGGTCGCCTCCGCACGCTTGGCGGATGAGAGACGGATCAAGATTCCATCAACCGGCCGGAAAATGCCCTGCTGGGATCGATCAAGTTGGGGGGCCATAAAGAAACCAAGGCCGAAACACGAGCAAAGAGAGCGCAAGGCAACCCGAACAACCCCGACCTGAGCAGCAAGGGTTGGACGGGAAAAGAACGATCCCAGGGGCCGAAGGTGCCAGTCACCGTTGCTTTGTTTCCTAGGGAGAGCAAAGCCGTCTTCTTTGGCCAGGAGCAATGTGAGCTCAATCAGGCTCAAAGGACAAAAATCACATGCATCATGATCCCACAAGCTAATTCGCTGTATGATCCACTGGATGAAGGGCAGAGGTGACAAAGTAATCTCGCTGTCGGCCCGCAAAAGCCAATTGATTGGCAGCAGGTCAGGCAGACTTACATTGCCAACAAGAGCCGCCCAATCTTCCGCCTCGGCCGGGGGTTCGTCATCAACGTCATGATTTGACATGTGCGAACCAGCAGCGGCCACCGCCAAGTAAAAATCGCGTAAAGTGCGAAATCTGTGGGCCCATTCATTGAAATGCTGCATCTCAAGCTCCAGCACATGAAGAAACTGAGAGGTCCTGTTGTGATTCAGCGAAAGTGCCGCACGATCGACGTTGTCGTTCCAAACGCAAATCCATTCCTCCAAGCTGCTGCAACAAAGCGCAAGGTCCAAATGAGAAGGGATCCAGTGTATCTGAAACTGCTGGTTGTCACCAAGCTCAATCAAATGCGCCAGCACCAGCAACAAATCGTGATTTTCCGGTGTGCCAAAAAGGCGAGATGCGTCTCCGTCAATGAGCGCCTGTACATCGTTGACGGTGTTCTGGGAGTCGCTCCAAATATGAACGCATCTGCCAAAATGAAGGCTCCACTGAATAGCAGCGATTACTGCTCGAAGTTCTGCTCGGCCTATAGACTGTGTCAGCCCATGTAGCGGTGCTCCTGCAACAGCCTGCGAGGTTGAAGCGTTCACTACTGCCCATGCGGCTAAATTGATATGTCCGCCCTGAAACTTGATACAGCTACCATCCGTGAACAGGTGCTGAGTGCCCTGCCCCGGCGGTGACATGAAGTCCGTTTCAGTGGGGATGTCCAAGAAAGCCTGTTTCAGTTGAGAAGCAAAGGGAGATCTGGGTACCAACAAGTGCTGTAAGAAGCAGTTCGGAAGCTGGTGCGTCCAGGTTGAAATCTCCGGTGTTGTACTGCGAAGTTCACTGAAACGAGGGCACACAAGCCAGTGCTGCTGGGTGTCGGGTGTATTGCATATGCCACAGTAGCCCTGCTTTGCTGTATCATACTTTGCATGCTGCCAGGGGGTAATGAAAGTGCCGTCCTGGATACACAAAAGTTGTGAAAGCCGCAAAGGGTCCATGCGGGGTCTGTCAAGCAAGGCAAGATGAACGTCCATACCTGAAAGGTCTGACATGGACTTCCGGTGGGAAACTTCCTTGGACACATACTGAAACCAGGCATCACGAAGAAGCAGATTTAAGGCATGATTGTCCAAGGCCATCAAATCGAAAACCTGCCCGTCATGGTCAATGAAGTCGGGGGGTGAAAGTACTTGCCAACCAACTTCCTCGAAGAGCTGGATGAGTTTGCTGAAGGGCCCCGAAAAAAGCCGGTTCTGGTGCTTATTCATGAAGGCGCGCCACTGATGCAAAAGGTCCGGCGATTTGCAGCAGAGCCTGCGAAAGTCATGAACAGTGCGATGAAGTTGGAAGTAACCCGGGTCACCCTGAAGTGGTTCGGACAGGGACAATCGAAGAAGCGGGTTGCCACCTCCATGTTGAAGGTGCAATGATTGCACCGCCTTGGTACGAAGCTTCTTGATGTGGCCCTGAAGCAAAAACTACCCCAGAAGCGCCGTGTAGGATGCTCGACCAGATGGCAATAGGCAGCGCTATCAGCTTCGTCGCCAACGGAGCCTTTGACCGGCAAAGTCTGTCCCACTTGGGAGCTGCTTGTTCTCCACGCTGAAGAAAGAGGGCGTTCCTGCGCGCCTTGGTGAAGGAAAGGGCTCCACCCAGTTCTTTGGCCTCAGGCAATACCGGAAAGCCCAGTGGCTGAAGACCATTACGCGTGGCAGATGTAGTGCCCCAACTGTAGGTCTTCTCATCGTCCAACCGAAGGCCCCACAGGGATAGGAATGACTTCAGAGAAAAGTATGCCGAGGCAACTCCAGGTGCATGGCCACAAGTGATGGTGAGGTTGTCAACAAAGCTGATGGTTTGGGCAGGAGATGCAAAAGCCTGTTGATAAATATGAAGCGACCAGTCCAGGATGGCCATGGCTGCCACACTTAGCGGGCATCCTTCTGGAAACCCAACATCTGAGAGATGGGGCTGACTCAGTTCGCGGCCGACCCGAAAGCGTCGCTTGAGGTTGAACAACATCTTCTTCCATGGAGATGTGAGAGATGCTGGGATACCAACGTGGTGTGCCAAGAGAAACATCTGCTGGCGCCCAATGTTGTTGAAAGCCTTGACAACATCGGTCGACAACCCGCAAAGGTCGCTATTGCGTTGCAGCGAAAGTTCAACCTGAGCCTGTAAGCAAAGCCATATCTGAGCCGGCTCCTTGCCCGGGATGAAGCCGTAGGCTCCCTCGTGGATGTATCCCGCAAGTTGACGAAGCACTTGCCTAGAGCGAAGAGAGGCCCAACATCGATAAACGATCGAAAGCAGAACAATGGGTCGATAATGAGTCGGAAGATGAGGTTGATCAATCTTGGCGATGGCGATCACAAAGCTCTCCAGCATCTGTTGAGGCCACGGAGTGTCCTCGTCCTCGATGGCATGGAGCAGGTTAAGCAGGGATTGAATCTGAGCATCCGTCATGAAGGTCAGGTCAGCCTTGTCAAAACCATCAGCTCCTCGGGCGGCTTGTGATCTGAAACGGGAAGCTGAGCGCCTCCACATCTGTATCGAAATCCGTGGTAATGTGAAGTGGCCAGTGGGCATGTATGCACGAACAAAATTGGTGATCCGGTTCCAGTCCTCAGTAGAAGGACCTTTCCCAGTAAGCCACTTAGGCCCCCAGAGCTGACCGAGCTGTTCATGGATAGCTGAGGGAGTGGTAAAATTGGTGCGCTGAATGAGCGTGTCACCAGGCTCGGGCGCCCGATCAAGGATGGCTGTGTCCGCTTGAGGATCGGTGACATGAACTGGAACCCCATCCAATGTCCATGTACTTGAGCTCGAAGAGGAGATAGCCTGATCCAGGTGAACTTGCCCAGAGGCAGGGTCAGTTGCCAGGACGCAATATTCGCGCTCTTCCCATAGAGAATCTACCTGATCACGTTGCGGTGGTCGAAGGTCCTTGTAGAGGGCACTCAACGACTTGTCGTACTTGGCGGAAATGAGGCTGAGGCGTTGCTGAAAGTGCCAAAGCTCAAAAGCTCTGAATTTGCTTTCAAATGCCGCAAATATCCATTCGGCAAGGCGGGTAGACGGAGGATGGTTGGGAAGAGGGCAGCTGAATCCACCAAAGTCCTGGCGTGTCCACCATATCGGGAATGAGGATGAGAAGCCCGCGGATCTTCTGATGGCCGCCCAGAGTTCTGCGCGATAGATCTGCGCCTCCAAGGAGAGGGTGCCAGCTCGGATTGAGTGGAGGTAGGATTGCAACCTCCGAAGCTGTCGATACCATCTCAACACGGCTTGTCCTGGTAGATCAAAACGTAGCCGGACTTCCCCAGGCCTGCTCGCCCTACAGGTAACCGGGGAGCTCGTCTGGACCGCCGGGGTGATGCGTTGACCACGACCACAATGGCGACGAGCAAGAGTGCCGTCCGGAGAGTGCTTGACATAGCCCTGTAGAGACTGCTCAAATTCGACAGAGAAGCTCCGATAAAAGTCGGTAGAAGAATGGCCCGGCGCAAAATTGCTGGCAGTGGTAGTGCATGAGGATTGCCAGGATGAGGTATCTATATCCTCCCAGTTGATGCGAGAAGGAAATGGCCAGGTAAGGTAGGTATGAGGAGATTCACCAAGGGCAAAATCGGCGATCACTGTGCTGTGGTCCATGAAGATGTCCTCCACCTGAACTGACTCACAGTGTGCCGCCAGGGCTGGAGAGACCCAGATCTGGTCTCGCTGCGTGGCCTGCTTGCAGGTGGGTTTGATGTCCCACCCCCATCTGTCCGAGGCCAGCTGCTGAACACTTTGCCAACCAAATGACTGCCATGTCCGGAGCTCCTGCAGTTCGTGTGGATCCACGTTGAAGTCTCCGGCAATAGCAGCCAATCCACTGAAGCCGACTACAAGGTGCCGAGTAAGATGATTCAGCAGCTGACCAGTCAACTGCGTAGCCTGGGGCCACGTAGGCCCACGTGGGAACCCGTACGCGTTAGCCAGCACGACGCGATGCGGGCCCACTTGATGTGAGGTGACTTGAACTCGGCTAGATTCCCAGGCCTCCGTAGGCCAACTGAGATCAGCCGGGTGGCTGATGAAGTCGCT